AATAGCTCTGACGCTGCGGAGGCAGCACGGACAAAATCAATCAAATAAGGCAGGATACTGGTCAAGCTTGCAGCTGCCACAATAACGGACATGAGCACACTGCGATTGTCATAATCAGCATTGCCAGTTATGAAAGGATAAAGACTAAACAAACATGAAAACATCTCCAGACTCCTCCACTTCCCCGGTGGATATCATTCTTATACCCTGCCAAAAGCATAAGCCAAATCCTGCGAAGATAATGGTGTACTCCGTGGCAAATAGGCAGCCAAAAAGAGGAGATTTCTTATTTCCGAGCTTTCTCGAAGCTTGCAAGAACTTGTCAAAGTCGCGTAGCAGATGATTTCGAAGCCCGAAAGCCTGTACCGTGCGAGAGCTTGACAAAATACTCTCTGCGAAAGCTCCAGCCTGGGCCTGAACTTTGAGAACTTTGGTTTCAAGCGAAGCTTCAATGGTGGAGCTAATTCCCATGGCCAGAAGCATTGCCGGGGCAATACAGCAGCAAATGAGAGTCAGCTTCCATTGGGTGACAAATGCTAGCGCAAAGGCCGATATAAAAGCGGACAGGCCCTGGACAACAAGCCCCAGCTTTTCTGATATTCCAGCCTGGATCAGTCGTCCGTTTGAGGTAGCTTGCATGGCAATTGATCCGCTAGTCCCGGCATCAAAGAAGGCAATTTCCTGGCTTAGTCCTGCTTTCAGGTATCGGTGGCGAACATTTCGTGTGATTCGGTATGCGGCAAATGTATACAGTGTGCTGTACCCATAAGTGAGGAAAAATCGACAAAGGCCGATGACGAAGAAATAGAGACTGATTTTATATTAGTTCTTTCTGTTCAACTAGATTGAGCTCCTTGCACATACCTGAGTCTTCCAGCTTCGCTTCGGAACTTTGAAGCATCAATATCACCCAGCGAGTAGTCAGTGGTGAGTGTGATGAACTGGCCAAACACCAGATTGACAAGAGCCATGCCCACACCGGACCCCAGTGCGCAGGCAGTGGCAATGGCTTGCAAGGTATAGTCCTTGGACGAGCCATAGTGAAAGATCCTCTGCTTGGTGTTAGACTCTTAGCCTGCGATGGGAGGGGAATCTTATGTCCTTACCAAGTAACCACTAAATGCACCTGTTTCTTCCTCACGTTTCTGGTTGTGGGTTCTATCTTTCTCAGATTCATTCTCCATTGTAGATATTCATGCGAAACCTCTTAGGCGAGCATGGAGTCAGTCGGCTTTGCTTTGGTTCGATGTTCTTCGATTGATACACTGTGTTGGGAAGAGAACAAGGACAATCATGATCTACTAATCGAGATCTGTTGCTCTTTTAAGATTCCCATGGTTATACTTGGCGGGTCTCAGCCAAGAGGCTATAAAATCATTCCGGGGTCCGCGGGCTCCGATACCATTTAGCGCACAATGTTGAAATCTTTTTTTAATATTGTCTTTTTTTTCCCTATAGGAAATTAAAGGGGCACTAGACATAAGCTAGTTTCATAAATTAATAACCGTCATGAGTCATTAGCATCATTACCTACGATATGCATGTAGGTACTATGTATAGTATAAGTCCGGGCGGAATCTAAACCCTTTTTAGAAAAAGCTATGTTTTGGAAAACGCCAAGACTCTTCTCTTTCCGGACCTTCCCTTCGACTTATTTTCTAGGATATGCTGGACAATGCCGGAACTGGCGCGGTCAATCCCTCGCTCATGGACCTCGACTTTGAAGCTTCCTAAATCTTCATTCCCTCCACGCGTATCGCCTGTCGATCGGACGAAATACCTCAAACGATGCACCGATGATCTCTACGCCTGGCAACGCCGCGAAAGGCCCGCCGAGCAACCATTCGTCCTGCACGATGGTCCACCATATGCGAACGGCGATCTCCATGTCGGACATGCGCTCAACAAGATCTTGAAGGATATCATTTGTCGCGTACAATTGGGTCGCGGGAAGAGAGTGCGGTACGTGCCAGGCTGGGACTGCCATGGACTGCCGATCGAGCTCAAGGCGCTCCAAGGCCTGCGTGACGAGGACATCGCAAGTGGATCGGTCAGCGCGGCGGTGATTCGTACAGCTGCGCGGAAGTTGGCAAGACAAACCGTGAAGGAGCAGATGAAAGGGTTCCGTGGCTTCGCGGTCATGGCTGACTGGGAGAACCACTGGAAGACCATGGACAAACAGTTCGAGATGCGACAATTGGGTATCTTCCGGGAAATGGTGGACCGAGGCCTCATCTACCGAAAGTTCAAGCCGGTTTACTGGTCACCTTCAACGGGTACTGCTCTTGCGGAAGCAGAACTGGAATACAAGGATGATCATATCTCGACCGCCGCTCTGGTCAAATTTCCCCTTGTTGATATCCCCACGCATCTCTCCGAAAATCCTCTTCTCCGTGGAGAGGATGTAAGTGCTGTGATTTGGACCACTACCCCCTGGACGCTGCCTGCCAATGCTGCCATTGCAGTCAGCGAGTCTTTGGAATACACTATTGTCTTGTCGGAAAAACATGGCTATCTTCTTATCGCTCAGTCGCGGTTCGAATACCTCCAGAATATGTTAAAAGATGAACTCTCTATCATTGTGCCGTCTATTTTGGGGTCCGAGCTGGCCGAACAAACTACATATCGACCTCTATTCAAAGGACCCGAAGCTCCGCCACAGCCCATCTTTGCTGCGGACTTTGTTACTGCTGATTCTGGCTCAGGCATGGTTCACTGTGCGCCTGGTCACGGAATGGACGACTACGAAGCATGTCTTGCACGTGGCATTCCTGTGTTCGCTCCCGTCAATGACGAGGGTAAATTCACAGATAAAGCCATGCCCCTCGATCCTACACGTTTAGCCGGAAAGCCTGTCTTGGGAGAAGGTAACACCGCAGTATTGGAATGGGTCGAATCGTGTGATCAGTTGCTTGCCCAACACAAGTACGAACACAAGTACCCTTACGACTGGCGCTCAAAGCTTCCGATCATTGTTCGGGCAACCGAGCAGTGGTTTGCCGATGTTGCCGATATCCGCAGCAGTGCTCTTCGAGCGTTGGAAGATGTCCGTTTCGTTCCCGAGACTGGAAAGCAGCGACTCGAGAACTTTGTGAAAAACAGGAGTGAATGGTGTATCTCGCGCCAGCGCGCGTGGGGTGTTCCGATTCCTGCAATCTATCACCGAACCACTGGAGAAGCCGTCTTGACTAAAGATAGTGTTTCACATATCATGACTACAATCGAAGAGCGGGGAATCGATGCTTGGTGGACTGACAGTGCGGACGATGCTGCATGGATTCCTCCATCCTTGCGGGACGAGGCTGGAGCAGGGTATCGACGTGGAACAGACACTATGGACGTTTGGTTTGACAGTGGTACCAGCTGGGCAGAGATCGATGTTCCTATCGAAGGACGGAGTCATCCAGCCGACGTGTATCTCGAAGGTACTGATCAGCATCGTGGTTGGTTCCAGTCCGGGCTTCTCACGTATATCTCACACCAGCTCGGCTCGAGTCAATCCACGACGCCTCGTGCGCCATTTAAGAACCTCATCACTCACGGTTTCACCCTGGATGAACATGGGCGGAAAATGAGCAAATCCATTGGCAACGTGATCCACCCGCAGACTATCATGGATGGAACTCTGCTGCCTCCTCTCAAACCCCGCAAAGGCAAAGGAAAGAAGCAACCCGAGAACCAAGAACCCGTGTACGACGCTCTTGGCCCGGATGCACTTCGCATGTGGGCGGCGAGCAGTGACTACACGCGCGACGTGGTGATTGGAAAACAGGTACTCCAGACTGTCAACACCAGTCTTCATAAGTTCCGTGTCACCTTCAAGTTACTGCTGGGTGCCCTTGCCGATTTCTGTCCAGAAAACGTTGTCCCATACGGGCAGCTGCAGCTAGTCGATCGAATTGCACTCAAGCACCTCTCAGACATGGTACTCACCTCTCAGAAGGCATGTGACAACTTTGAGTTCTACAAGGCCGTGAGCACGATGAACCGGTGGGCCAACCTCGAGTTTTCTGCTTTCTACATGGAGGCGATCAAGGACCGACTGTACACCCTGGGTGAGGACAGCACGAGTCGCCGGGCCGCACAAACGACCTTATTCTACATCTACAATTATCTTCAAGAGGTGCTAGCTCCCATCACACCAGTGCTTGTGGAAGAAACTTGGGAACATACTCCCGAGTCCATCCGCACTCAATCTGAGCACCCCCTGCAGCGTATCGTTTCTGCCCCGGCTCCGGAGTGGCAGGATTTAGCCCTGGAGACCAGCTACCAGGAGCTGACGGTGGTTCACTCCGCCATCAAAAACTTGCAGGAGCAGGCCCGTAGTAAAAAGCAGCTTGGCTCCTCCCTGCAATCCTTTGTCCACATTGTGCTCCCCAATAACTCTGGGTTATTCCAGCAGTATCTAGCGGAGCTCCCTGATCTCTTCGTTGTGTCCTCCATCACCCTGTCCCACAGTGAAGCTCTCCCGACCGACATCAGCAATGCTGAATGGCAATATGAGGAGACATTTGAGCTTGGTGGCCAGCCAGGCAAAGTATATGTGTACGCGCCACAGGCTTCCAAGTGCCCACGGTGCTGGCGGTACGCCATTCCGAAGCCGGTGGCGATCGAAACGATCTGCGACCGGTGTGATACAGTGATACAGGCAAACGCCTAGATCACTGTACCAGTCTGTACACTTATTTTGTATTATATCGAACATCTCCAGGTGATTGGACATATCCGCCAATTCACCAACTGCAGTGCAACCAATGTAGAACATCAAACAATTAAATTAAAAATCAAGCTGAATGAAAGTTCTAAATCTATATTAAAATCTATATTAAATATAACTTGAATGTGAAGTTCATGCAATGTTTATAGGCTATGACGACAGCATTTCTGTCAATGACGGTGGTTCTAATCATCCCCAAATCCTGCTTTGATGCAACCATGCCCTTATAGTCTCCCTTTTCTCTGCTTCTCTTCTTCTTCTATTCATATTCTTCAAATTCAATATGATTCCTCAATTTGATCAGTTTGCTACTCTAACGGCGCCCGCCACTACGTCCTCGGTAGCGCCTATTCCCACTGTAATCCCGGGGTCAGAGGTCTACCAGGAACTTCATGATGTGGGCAAGCGGACTCTATGGTATGTGGATTGTTTATGTTAAAATGCATAATTCTTAACATCTATAGGGTTGTCACTGTGTTGATGGGCATCTCCTCGCTAGTGTTCTATACTCTGGCTGCTCGTGCTCCTCTAGTGAGTTCATCTCTCTATAATATATACATATCTAACATCTATCCAGCCTAAACGAATCTTCCACATTCTAACATCCTTGATAACCACCATCTCCTTCATAATCTACCTAGCCCTCTCCACAGGCCAAGGCATAACAACCAAACATGCCACAGTCAACGAACCCCACAAGCATGTCCCAGACACACACACAGACTATATCCGTCAGGTCCTATGGCTACGATATGTAAACTGGGCATTGACAACACCCCTCCTGTTTATCAACTTTGCCCTCCTATCCGGCCTACCAGGAGCAAACCTACTGATCGGCATTGTCGCCCACCTGATCATGCTGGCAACAGCCCTATTCGGCATATTTGCAGGCCACGGCCGCGAGCGCTGGGTCTGGCTGACCCTCTCGTGTATCTCCTACCTGGTTGTGATCCACCATGTAGGCTTCCACGCGCAGCGAGCGGCCAAAAGCAAGGATGACCAGACGAGACGGTTCTTCGGGTCTGTCTCTGGGTCTGCGATTGCCATGCTAGCGCTGTTCCCTATGTGAGTTATATATTCGGATGGTTCTTGTGCCGGTTCAGGATGAAGGCTAATAATGGACAGTTCCCTCGCGGCTGGTGCTCTTGCGCTTAAGTTGAGCGTTGATACGGAGACTGTTCTCTTCGCTATACAGGATGTCTTCACGCAAGGTGTCCTTGGATACTGGTTACTGTTAGCTCATGACAGCGCGCCTGGAATGTAAGTTCCAATTTGAACATCTGTATTGAACGCCGTACTAATTGCTGTAGTGCTCTTTACATGGAAGGATTCTGGTCGCATGGTGTCGGCAATGAGGGAGCTATCCGTATCGCTGATGAAGAGGGCGCGTAAGGAAATGACTGTTCACTTACATTCAGTTTGGAAACCAGGTGATACGAAATGATTTTTTTTTTGTTAGTTGACTTTCAGATTCCTCACTTGCGGGTTAGTTTCACCTTTCTCTCAGTTTCATTTGAGGTTTGGTCTGCGGTAAGGTATGAGCACCATGATATTGATACTTGGCCCTATTATTATCTACTCTACATCTATTCAGTACTCTACATAAGAACCGAGAATGACTTGAATATTGTTTTTTTTTTTTTTTTTTTTGTTACTTGTACACGACCGAATATGATATTTCCCTAGCGGCACGCTCACCAGAGCCCCCTGGGGAAGGCTCCGGCGAGCGTGCCGCCGCTGACGGACACGGACACGGTCCGTTCACATCCTCGAGGCCCCCAGGCCTCTCACCGCGGTGGTGAGCTCGGCCAGCTCCTCCTCTCCAAGCTCCACGACGGAGCCGGCCTCGGAGGGCCCGTCTGCACCCCGGGCCACTCCGTACTCGTTCGAGTGACGAACTCGAACGTCTCGCTGGGCGCGAGACAGCCAGAAACCGCAGTCGATGCAGTCCTTCTTGAAGTGAACCTCTTCGAGGTTCCGGAGCCACATTCCGAAGGGGTCTCCGTCCACAGCGAAGCCGGTCAAGGTGAGACGCTTGACCGGGAGGTAGGGGGGACGGGGAAACCGGAGCCTAGGGCAAGCACCTTTGCCCTCTCAATGCAGAGCTTGTCAAGGTACTCGCCGTACCCGATTCGGTGCCAGATCTCTCCGTCGCCTCTGTAACCACTACAAATCAGTCAGGTTAGTATATGTCACTTTGGCCTCACATAACTCTCACTTGGTATGACTTACTAGTACACGGGCGGGGCACAGGACTTGACGCTCATTACCCATCCCTTCTTGATTTCCTTCCATCCACTTGAGCCAAGTGGTCTGTTAATCTCCAAGCCAACTGCCATCTCCAGTTCCAGGGTGGTCAGTTGGGGGTTCACCCACACAGTCTGCCAGATGATGGGCTGGTATGACTTCATCATACCAGTTAGCTTCAGTACCCGCAGGTTGCGGAACTCGCCCAAAGGTTGCATCTGCTCCAGTGAGAGAATTGTGATGGCGATTTCATCTTCTGGCTTCTCGGCGGAAGATGTGAGGTCGGTAGCGGACTCCTCAATGTCGAAATCGGTCATGGTCGCCTTGTCGACCATGTTAGTGGTGTTGTTGATGATGGGAGATGTGTGACCGGGGTCGCTCATAACAACTTCGTTGACCATGGTAACTTTGTCAGCAGTCTGATCATTGTCGAGATCAACAAGGTTCTTGGGATGGACCTTGAGAGCATCGAAAAACATGTTCAGTTCTAGAACTGAATTGGTGCGAGGGATGTTATCCCAAGAGCTGCCCTTATTGAGGTAGGCCATCAAGCTGATGCGAGATGAGTGAGGAGAGGTTTCAGTTTCGGGATGAGTATCGCTCTCTCGATCGAGCCACTCTTGAAAGCTGGCATTGCTAATATAGCTAGGAGCCACTGTCGTAAAAGGTTGAGAGCCCTCATGAGCGCTGGGGGGTGCAATATCCAGATTGGTAGCAGAAGGTCCTCTGTAGAGGGAACGAAAAGCAGGACGGGGAGCTTTGGGGATGGGAGGAATAGGAGATTCAGGACGCTCAGGAGGGAGGAAAGTGGAAGGAGACAGGATAGATGGACGGGCAGTCTTCTCAGCTTGAATAATTCCAGAAGTCGACGCAAGGATTGGGCCCCGGCGCTTGAGACTGAGATTCTTAAAGGAAGGCAGTTTTGGAAGATGCAAGCTACCTTGCTTTGAACTCTTCTGACTCTTCGTGGGTGATGTTGTGGTATCAGTCTCTGCCGGGGAGGGATGAATGATACTTCGGAGTCGGAGACTATTGAAAGAAGCAAGCTGAGAGAGTTGGAAGCGACTTTTAATTGGACTCTGGCTTGTTTCACTCTTGGTTGGACTCTTCTCAGGAGAGCTCGCGACTGTAGTCTGAACACGGTTCTTTGAAGGCGACTGAGCAGGGCTCTGAGGCAATTGACCAGTCGGTCTGGTGGTTAGGGCTAAATGAAAATGAGCATTAGCACGAAGTGAATATCAGCGGACGCCATTTGTATGTATGTCTAGGGCATTCACAAAGCTCCAATATGAAGAGCTTACCTTGTCTCTCAATTTCAGCAAGTCTCTCAGCCTGTCTTGTCGCATGTTCCCAGAATTGCACGCCCATGAGGCTGTTCTTCCAGTGCTCGTGCATATCACGCTCGTACAAGTGATCCATGATCAATGAAGATGATAGCAATAAAAAACATGGATGAATCAAATGATCAGGGAGATGACAGCGGATGAGAAGAAAGGGGAATTGGATGATTGGGATGGTTGAGAAAAGGTACTTCCCCCGAGAGCCATTCAAGCGTTGAGTTGCCGCATAAACAAGCTTGCCTGGCAGGTACCATTCGCACATATGTTGTAGAACGAGATCGAGGGCTACCGTTCGACTTGCGCGCGCCCCACGATATTTCTTTCGTTGGAATAGCTTCACTGAGTTGGCAATTCGACTGAGGGGTTTATTGAGTTATCTATTCAGATATACTAGTCCCCCTTTGTCAAGGCCAGTCAATAGCCTTTATGTCTAGATGACCATATTCTGACAACATAAATAGGTAGAGCTTGGGGAGATATTACACATCAAGCACTATTCTCCCGAGGTAATGCGCTGCTTAGGGGCTGGACCACAGGGCTTTTTCCCGTTAAACATAAGTGGAATTGTTCATCAGAATCAGAGCAGCTAAAGTAGAAACGTGGCGGAACATAACAGCCAGAGTGAGACTGGCCGTGGTGAATGGGCCATTAGAGCCAGATGCGAGGTTTTCCACAACATTGCTGAGCATCTTGAACATGGTTGGGAATCGCTAGGGAGGTAATTGCTCATGATCTCCCTATCAAGCTCTCGAATGGCAGGATCTACGACATTACCTCCGATGGTGAGTCTTGGTTATGTTCAACGAGACTCCGTCGCTCTTCGAGTTTGCTTTTGAATCCCTAGTTTATTAGTATTGGCTAGATGGCTAGATGTGCAAAATCCAAAGACATTGAATTGAACGAGAATGTATTGAAAATTCAGAGTATTAGCATAAAAGGAATCAAGTTTGCCACAGTATCTAGTTACATTAAAAGTAATATACCATTCCTTGATATAATCCATCATTTAGCCCTAATTCGCCCAAGAATTGACACAGATGCAGTTTGACGGCATTTACGACTTTTCCTATGAAATGTATCATAAATTTAAATTTGGCCTGCAATAGAAAGACGGTGGCTTCTAGGATCTGTAAACAGAAAAAGAGATAAAGAGCTTTATGCTGTCTCAACCTTGATGTTTGTCTTGGCTTGCAATTCCTCTGACGTAGGCTTTCTTGCCCACACGCGGTTCCTAGTATTTATTAGCACGGAAAAAAGCATGCGATCTAAAAGAAAACCTACGCAGGTTCATAAGCGTGAATATGCGGGTTGTTCAGCTCCGTGCGCACTTTAGCCAGGAATACCTGCACCTCCTCCTTTGTCCAAGGCTCTGGCTCTCCAAAATGAGTGAGAAGCCACATCGCCCAACCTTCTAGAGCGGCATTCCAATGGGCCCACTGGAGGTGTCCAGCCTCCTTAAGTGTATTATCTCTAGCCCAAGGTCCTAGGGGAATCTTGTACCTTTCCTCATGCACGTCAACGAATCCGGCTTTCTCGATCGCACTGCGCATCGTTTCATGGGTTCTGAGGGATCGTCCAGCTCGCTCGGAGCATCTAATAAACATGTCACCCCATCCATATAGTTGGTGTTCTTTCTTCAGAGTACCGTCTTCGCTGTAAACTCGCACGTCTAATTCCATTTGTTCGATCCAACCACCAGGCTCTAGGGCACTAGTGTGAAGAAAAAGAAAAATTAGGGTGCAATGTCTCAGAAAATTGATTAATTGGGATTGCAACTCACTCGTAGGCCTGTTTGTATAGTTTCTCCCATCCCTCGGGAGGAAATGCGCCATACATTAAGCGCATATGGATAAAGTCAAACGGCTCTCTCCATGTCCATTCGCGAAGCACATCATCCACCTCGAAGATACAGTTTGGGGGCATCCATGACACGGGTGGGGGAAAGATATCCACTCCACGGACGGTAGCTAATTGGTCTCAGTCAAAGAATCGAAGTCGAAATCAAATAATCCAGTACCTAGCGAATATCGATCGGCAACGTCACTAATGATTGGTTAGAGGTTTTCTTAGGGGTTGCTCGACTTGACTTACATTGCCCAACTCCCTTGGCCAGTTCCGATGTCTAAGATATTCTATGTGTGGTTAGCAGGACGTTTAAGCGATGACCTCAGTACAAATTCACCTTGGGTGAATTGCCGATAGGGGCGCGGAAAAGAGGATTTGGCTGCTCGTGATCTAGCACGAGAAATACCATATGGCTGAGTTTGTTAATACCATAAGCCCTTCTCGGTGATGGGATGTGGCTTACCCAATCTCAAATGCCTCGAATTGCTGCTCGTCAGAAGGACCCCTTGATATGGTTACTTGATGTAAAACAAGCTCGTTTTATCGCAACTAACCAGTAGTCATCTTCTTTAATGGCCTGGTATCTACATATCGGGTTGGTCTTAGGAAGCGATCTTAGACTGGAAGTGGACTGACCTTCGGCCGTTTTCCAGTCGTCCTCTCGCGATCGAGGACGCGATCGAGGTGGTATCCCTACATATGTGAGACTTCTCCCATATATATGATTCATAATGGCACTCACGAGTGAAGGTCCTGCGGGTCTATGCCGTAGTCATTGACCATAGAGTAGAAATCAGGATCCTACACAAGAGGTGAGAATGCATAAGTCAAATTATGAACCCACTACTTACCACTGCGATGTCCATCTTCTCATTATCTCGACACTTTTCAAAGGTTGAAAGGTAAAGTCGATGTGTGGGGGGGGAAACAAGCCCGTCTACTCAGACCGTTTAACTAGCAACGTAAGCCAAAGTCACGGGTGGACTTTATAACCGAGTTACCTAGGTAGGTTGGGTGCATATTTTTATCCACAAAAAAAAGTACTGACGATCGGGATGGCCTCGGGGATTATGGCTGCTTATTAAGTATTAATATGATTTGAAACACTGGATGGGACAATTCTTAGTTAAAGAACATCACCTCTTCGACTAAAAGCACTACTCCGCCTATGATCCCCGAAAATGAATAAACCCAAACGGGATCTAAATCAAACGAGTCCAATACGTTCCCAGTCGCGCAAATATTTGCGACGTAGAAAGCGGCAAAAACGTACCGGATACACTTCTTGTATAGCTTAGCCACGTACCTGCCACATAATTCCCATACGGATCAGCGAGGTGGTTAATAAGCCCCATGAATATGAGGGAGTCAATGCCGAACGGGATGCCGGAGAGCATGGGAACTATCCAGTGTATGGAGGACTAGGTGTACCGAGCCAGAAGAGAGAGACACCCCAGTCAACCTAGCTCCAATGTCGGGGTTGTATACTTCCTTGTGATATATGAGATGGTCTTATAACCCGCCTGGGACTCTAGTTCAGGTTTGTTCGGTAAGAAAAAAGACCCGACATGATGCAACAAGAGCAGAAATACATCTGGTCAGCCGATCTTTACGGCGAAAAGGTGGCCCCATTCGTTGCAACTTCGACTGACAAGGTTCTCGCCTGCGTGGACCCTAAGCCAACTGGTAAGTCTTCCAAAGTTCAGATGACAATCGCCAGGCTTAACTAACAAGCTAGAGGAAATCCTTGATATCGGCTCCGGGGAAGGCCCCTTGGCAGCCCGCATGGTTCCCCATGTCAAACGGATCGTGGGAATCGACGGTTCACCCGACATGATTGAACACTTTAACAAGCCTACCCACACTTTGAGTCGCGGGTTGTCGATTGCCGACTGATGAATCAAGAGTCTGATCTCACAACCGGAAGTTTCGACAAGGTCCTTTTGAACGCTTCCTTGCATTGGATTTTGAGGGACCCCGAAACGAGGTCTAATACAATCAAGGGCTGTTTTGAGGCAATCAAGTTGGGAGGCCTTCTGGTCAATGAGTCCGGTATGCTGGGAAATGTAGCCGAAGTACATTCCGAAATTATCAGCGGTCTAGTCACTCAAGGCATTCATGTTGAGCAGGCGCGAGAAGCCTCGCCTTGGTGGTTCCCATCACAGCAGGCTATAAAGGACCTTTTAAAGGGGCGTGCTTTAATTGGGTCAAGGGCGAGGTCCAACTCAGACAACCTCGACAGAAAATGAGAAGCGTGGCATTGAAGGATGATAAGTCTGACACTAATAATCTTGACTTGATAACTCATATCGTATAGGATTCGTCTATTTGATGAGCCCTTTCTTAAACTTCTCCTGACGACTGAGACCCACGATGCAGCCGTCAGACATGCCGTTGTACGTTCTCGATGCTGTAAGAAGACAGCAGTATGATAGGCATTTACCTATTTCCTTTTGATTATTAAGACATGGCTTTCCGCCCAGGTGTTTTATCCTTTCCTATATGGAACGGTATGAATCGTGTGGTTGGACAAGAAGAATGCTCTCTGTTCAGCCACTGTCAAAGTTCAAGAGCCTGAACTCTCATGGTGTTTCGCAGAGTGGGATAGTAAATGAAAGAATGGCCTGTTTATGCCTTTTTTGAGGTGAACTTTGGTCCAATCTTCTTTCCCTTTCGTGACAACCCTAGGAATTCCCCTAACATAAAGGTGATGTAGAGATGGGGGTCTGCTTAGATCCCTGTTGGAACGCTCTCACAGTCAAGATTTGGTTAAGGACAAGAGACATTGAACGACATTGAAGGACATTGAACTCCTGGAATGAGAAGAAGTCGCACAAGGAGCTAAGCCTAATTCGGCAACCCGCTCTACACAATCCATGCCTTTGGAGATGATGTGAAAGATATAGAATACTCTTATGTCTTGATATCTTCTTTGATGTCTTTCTGGATATATATTTTAGATGTTGTAGGATCTTGACGACACTTGGGGTTCACAGTGGGCTCGACGTGGTGTCAAATGTACTGGGATATATATATATATATCTTCAACATAATATTCAAAGGTTATTCACAAGAAATTCGCTTGTGCAATGTATTTCATTCCACCTTTTTTTACCGTCTACCTCTAAAACCGAGAAGGGGGAGAAATGTCTTGAAAGACATTTATGTTAGAAAGAGAATATTTAAGACTACCCAAAAGACCAACTAAAAGTCTACACAAGGCCGCATATGCGGCCTTATACTCTTGTGGTACATTGGATAGCTCCCATGTGCCCCAGTGTGAATACATCGACCATGTGGGGCTCTCCATGGCTATTCATAGACCTGGGCTACGAGATGTCCATATAAGAGTTTCTTTAGGGATACGTATGATGGCATCCTTTGAGATGGTCCCAGGACAGCCTAGACCCCAGACTGGTGTTTGTTTCCAAAGTGACCTGCCCGTGGGACCTCTCCATGCATTACTGTCATGGCGATATTGCAGCACTGCATATTGAGATGCGAGCTTGAACTATAGACTGTCACATCCCAAAAACCAATGTCTATCAGGTGAAAAGCCTACTGCCCTACTGCATACATCTACTGCTCAAAAGAACAATCTGGCTGGCAAATGGCCCGTGGACTTCGCTATTTTGTGTCCCTCCCCATGATAAATACATCAAGAGCGGCGCAGAGATGTCTCTCGCACACACGAACCATCTTTTAATCGCCAAGCACAGAGGGAGAAGTTTTTAAAAGAAACCCATTGGAATTGTCGAACAAAAATCATGCATCATCCATAACCTAGTACTTCTTGCCCTGGCGGAGGACATCACCGAACTCCTCCAGAGGGCTGCGGATGAGCTTAGTATCGGCCCACAGGTTGGGGGTAAGGAAACCGTAGGTGTTGACGACAGCGACGAAGGTGGCCTTGAGGGTGTTCTCGAGGGTCTTGGTGGAGCCGGAAGAGGAGGTGTAAGCGTCCTGGACACCGGCGAGCTGGAGCAGACGCTTGACAGCGGGGGAAGCGACAAGGCCGGTACCGCGGGGGGCGGGAATGAGCTGTAAATAATTAGAAACCATCTTTTCAAACCACTGGCCCCCGAAAAAAGGGACCAAGATCAGAAATTGACCACTGTCAACAACTTACACGGACGGAGACGGAACCACACTTTCCACTCTGCTTGACGGGCAGAGAGTGGGGCTCACCAAGGTTGGTACCCCAGTAACCGCGACGGACGGGGAGGACAGCGAGCTTGGCGATGGTGATAGCGGCACGGATAGCGGTGGCGACTTCCTTGGAGGTCTTGATTCCGAGACCGATGTGGCCCTCGGAGTCACCGATGAGGACGATGGCCTTGAAACGGGTACGCTGACCGGCACGGGTCTGCTTCTGGACGGGCTTGATCTGGAGGTTGAAATTGACGTTAGTTTCTGGTCTGTTTTCGATGTATTCGGTTTCCGCTCGAGCTTCCACTGCGCAATTGCGTTCAATTGTCGCATTCCAGTCGATCCCCGCTCAATCCTTCAATTTCAAAAACAAGTGTGTGTCGATCCGTACCTTCATAACCTCATCCTTGAGCTTGGGCAGGAAGAAGTCGACAATCTGGTACTCCTTGACGGGCAGAGAGTGGAGGTAGATCTGCTCCATGGAGGTGATCTTGCCGGCCTTGACGAGACGGCCGAGCTTGGTGACGGGCTGCCACTCCTTCTCCTCCTGCTTGGGGCCACGACGGCCGCGACGGCCACCACGACCACCACGGCCACGGTCACCACCACGCTCACCACCACGGTCGCCGCGCGAACCGAAACCACCACGTCCACGGGGAGCAGCGTCAGCCATATTTATGTTGTTATGGGGAAGCGACGGGGAGGGTTGTCGGTTTTGAGTTGGTCGTCGAGATTCACGGCGCTGAGCACTGTTTGCCCGAAATTTGCGCGGGTGGGCTAAGCGAGCGGGCAACCCTAGTGGAGACCCTATGCCCTAGATTCCCGATCGGGGAAGTGGCACGTGCACTTAAGGTTTCCAGGGCGGTGTCACCTGACGGGGCCCAGAAGTAGATCAATAGATCGTAGTTTTTTTTAGAGGGAGATGGACACTATGGAAGATACAATGGATTTATTTTATAGTGATATTCAGGTCATTAGCTATAGCAGTATTGAACAATAAATCATGTTTTGAAATGAAATTGAGTCCTCGTAAAGTTGTTATTCATCCTACGTCACCTCCAAAATCTGCATCGGGCGGATGCATTTCCTATTTGGGGAATGCGACAGGTCAATCTCGACTCCGCAATTTCAAGATTGTTCCCCCAGTTGCCCCTTCCATAGTATTTCAGCGTCTCCCCTTTGCTTTTCTGTCCATTCTTTGCTTTCCTCTCTAATTCCTTCATCTTGCATCTTTCATAGCTACTCAATCGCAGTTATGTTGCGCTGGTAAGTCTCCCTTAGTACTCACCTCCTTGAATCGAAGCTCAAAACATCTTCAACCAGGTACCAGTCCAAGTTGGCAAAGAGGCCCATCCTCACCGCAAGCATCACCAGCGCAGTACGATCCTCTCATCTCCTCCTCCCTTGGACTATCTCCTGATTCTTTGTTACAACAGTTCTTATTCGGCAGTGGCGATGTTCTAGCACAGCAAGCTGTTGACCGGAAAGGTCTCCAAAAACACGACTTTGCCCGCACTGGGCGAATGGCCCTATACGGTGGAGGTATGTTTCCAAGTCTGGAGTCTGTTGTACATCGCTGATCGGTGTCTTATCTTCCTTCCAGCCATCTTCGGTCCAGTTGCCACTACTTGGTTCGGCGTCCTCCAGCGTCATGTCGTTCTCAAGGGCGCCGCGTCCACCACCGCCGCCCGTGTTGCTGCCGATCAACTCTTCTTTGCCCCGGTCCAGCTCACCTGTTTCCTTTCCTCGATGGCCATCATGGAAGGCGTTGATCCTGTTGAAAGGTGGAAGGCTGCCTTTGTTCCCGCCTATAAGGCTAACTTGATGGTCTGGCCCTTTGTACAGGGTGTCAACTTTACATTTGTCCCGCTAGAGTTGCGCCTGCTGTTTGTCAACGTTATCAGTTTGGGTGAGTACCTTGTTTCCAAGTGTTGATCATACCCCTTCAGTGACTAACGACTAAACAGGCTGGAATTGCTTCCTTAGCTTGATGAACAGCGGTGAGGAATTAGAATTACAAGCTGTGATTTGAGATACCCTTGAAGTTTTGATTCCCAGCTGTTCCGAGCATTTTCACATTGGCGCTCCATTATACGGTAATTTTTGGTTGGGTTATTTGGTCGTCCTCAGGCATCGGGAAGATTTTTATTCTGCTTTTTTTTTTAGCTATGTAAGAATTATGCTCAATACAAATCTGAATCTGAATATTCAAATTGAAATTTAAAAGAAATCAAATGGTCAAAGTAGAAATAAGAGCATAGTGAAGATTGGGATATATAGGTGTGATTATGTTACGGAAGAACCCAAAGAGGCAAGGCAAGTTTTTGTGGCTCGAACTTCAAAACTTCCACTCTTTGCAGTCAATTGTCGCCCACCTCCACTCTCATCTCACACTGCCTGGAGCAGACTATTACTGCTAAATCGATCCAGGCTTGGATTCCTATTACCTTCTTTGTGTGATAAACCCCCCGATTTGCGCTTTCCCTGAAATTCTCGCCCCTCCGACTTTCCGACTCGATCGTCTCCCCCTCCACATCATTCACTATGGCTACCGTCGCAGAAAATGGTACCCCGGCTGTTGCCGATGAGAACTCTGCTCCTATCACTGAGACTCAGACTGGTGATATCGTCACCGTTTTCCACAACCCCGATGACTTCAACGTGAAGCACCCTCTTATGCACGAATGGACTCTGTGGTTCACCAAGCCCCCTAGTGGCAAGGTAGGAGACACCACTTGGATAGATCGACATCAGCATGCTTACCAATGGAAATTAGGGCGACAACTGGAACGACCTTCTCAAGGAGGTGGTTACCTTCAGCTCCGTTGAAGAATTCTGGGGCATTTATGTATGTTCAATCCGAAGTCTCCCCCCCCCCCCCGGTGAACGACCACACTAACCTCGATCGCTAATAGAACAACATCACGCCGACCTCTGAACTTGGCCTGAAGGCCGACTACCACCTCTTCAAGAAGGGCGTACGACCCGAGTGGGAGGATCCCCAAAACAAGCACGGTGGAAAGTGGTCATACCAGTTCAAGGACAAGCGCTCCGTCCCTATCGACGAACTCTGGCTGCACGCGCAGCTGGCCGCGATCGGCGAGACCCTCGAGAACGACGACGACAACGAAGTTATGGGAGTAGTTGTGAACGTGCGCAAGGGCTTCTACCGTGTCGGTCTATGGACACGCACAGTCGGCAAGAGCATCCAGGGCGATAAGAACACCCGCACACAGGCGCAGGGCAAGGAGATCCTTGAGGCAATTGGCCAGCGGTTCAAGGACGTGCTGCGACTCAACTTGGCGGATGTGGTGGAGTTCTCCGGCCACACCGACAGTGCACACAGCGGCAGCACGCGCGCGAAGGCCAAGTACACTGTTTAAATGGGGGTTTGGTTGAGACGATGTGCAGACGAGGATGAAAAACGAAAAGGGGACGGATGGCGATGCGCGGATTTCACGATTACGGACGACACGAATCGAGAGGAATTGACTCGATGTGTGGTGCAGGGAAACTGGGAGTGATTCACATAGGGACCGAGGTCCCCCCTCTTATGCCCGCCCCGCTGCATAGTGCTGCAGGGACGATCTGATTGCTTGCGACTTGTATCTTACTCTACCAAACACATTTTACGAGGCTGATGCCGTGGTTGAGGTCGAGGTCGTGCCAGTATGATGGTATTTTCCTTACATTATTCTATACAAATATGACCTGTTCATGGATGCATTCTACTTTTGGTGTTGCTAGGTCGTTTTTGGCGAGGTCAAGCACCTGAGTAGAGCTTTTGATCTTGAATAGCGATTATACTGGGAGGCATATCAGTAGGTGTAGCTCCGAAGCCAGCAGGCTAATGCCTAAGCCCTGTCTCGTAGGACTTTGTTTCTTGTCTCGTGGCTTCGAATACTCGGATAGGATCGGACAGCCTTGAATTCCATGCATACAAGCTGTATAAGATAGAGGAGAAAAGGCTTGTAGGATCTCTCTATTCTCTTTTTTGTAATTATTCACATGGTCCTGCCTCCAAGCAATGTTTCTTTTCAACTTGAGAGATTCTATCACTCACTAATATATTGAATATCGAGCGAACTGGCACTTAACATTGATCCTTACTGCCCCGAACGAGATGCTTCGGGGCTGGGGACTAGTAGAAGCCACCCTACCCAGACCGTGTGGTCTTGGGTCCGCGGTCATGATCACAGACACTTCAATGATATGTTACAGGGATGATGGTTCGAGTAAGCGCACAGGGGATCAGGGCCTCGAGCATGTTCTGCGGATTTACACCGCATTTACATGATCCCTTGGGGATATAAAGGCCCCTTCGCAGGATAGTGTACCACCAGGACATGAATATCAAATCAATCTTTTAATATTTCTCATCATGATCAAGCCCGAAGACAGGTTCTACTCGGAGGGTCAGGGCTATTTTAGCCCAAGAGAAAGACCTATAACCGAAACCCACTACAACGTATGGGATTGGGATCAGCTGCGATTGATCAAAGTTAAAGGAACTGCCAAATTTTTCCCACCTGACGAAGATGTCGAGAACTCAATTCTTGCGCAATTCGCCGATAACCTTTCGCCGGAAGTTCGTGTAGTCACAGTCGACGATGACGGGCTTCCTACTGGAGTCTCGATAGATCCTAAAGAGGACGATACATCATTTATTACATATATCCCCTTCTCACTCTGTCGATCGCTCGCAGATTGTCCTACAATCTACTTCTCTCAGCTTTAAGAGCTTAATCGGCTTAGACCAGGTGTCGATCTCTCGTCGTATGATGGTCAGAGGGTCGCATTCAAATTCAACCCAAGTATGCCTCGAAGACTGGAAACGTCTTAGAAGGAGATCAACATGCTTAGCAAACTGCCACCATATCCTAATATAGTACCGTTTGATCGTATCGTTCCCCAAGACGTAGAGTCTCGAGTGGTTAGATTCACAACAAAATACATCCCAGGCGGAACGCTAGTAGACGCCGATCCGAAAAGGCCCTTCCGATTTGAATGGCTACAGCAGCTTACCTAGGTGGTGGATTTCCTAAATCTAGAATTAGGGATCATACATCAAGATATTACACCTCGAAATTTGCTTGTCGACCCCGAAACAGACAATATTCTTCTCTTCGATTTTGATTGGGCCGCCAATGGAAAGGACTACCTACTCGATGATCGAGATGATGTGTCTAGTGTTGTGTTCACATTATACGAGATCATCACGAACGATACACATTTTACGAGCATTCCTCACTGGGAACGAAACATGGATATGGTGCAGACGAGCTTGGCCGGACAAAGGAGGGGGAAACTGTTTGGCGAACGGGTCCGCGTACAAGACGCACTACACTAAAAAAGGGACAGTACTGCTTTCGGTGGGAAAGGCCACCCCAAGTCAGGCTGGTGAAGAACGCCAAAGCCTTGGAAGGAGCGTAGCTGATGAAAGCTTTCTTGGTCAGCCCGAATCTGGATCAACCATTTGTCAGATAGCACAAAGTACAAAATGAGACACCTCGAAGCCTTGTATATCCTATACTTACCTACCAATTTATCACTTATGATGCGATCCAAGATTTTTTGAGGCGATGCGGTTGTATACTTGTAACATTCGAGGTAGGCAATGGGCTCTCTACAGGGACTAACTAGACACCTATCAAATATCTTGGCTTGATTTCCGCATGTTAGTTGTGCATTTTATTCTGAAAGGGCTATAAATTTCCATCGGACAATGTGCTATGGGGAAGCATATGATATCGGTGCAATATGTCATCGGCACTCCTGATATGTTATGAATACCATAGAATGGACTTTCTCCGATCTTTTTAACGTCAGAATTTACAGCTACTAGCACTGTGGAATTATGTGATGGGGTTTATCAAGGTCTAGTTGATGGTTTTAAAGTATCTTTGCGTTATAGAGATGTTGGAAATTCTTGGACATATATTTACTGTTCGGAAGCTTAAAATAAACCCGAGTTACTCGTGAAAATACCCGGTGGAAAAAAGCCCTCTATTTACCTTTCATATTAAAGAGAATATTTGAAGGAAACTTGCTGTTAAGGAAGAAAGTGAAATATATGCTTCTAAAAAGAAGCACACGCACGACTTTCAAGACGAGCTCCGAAGATTCTCTCCACACTTATTTCTTATAATATGATACTATAGTATTAGACATGTCCTAGAGAGATAGACTATCCGCTCACTGATCACTTATAGGAACTATACTCCGTAGGCATCTCTGTTTCGCTCCAGGCTATTAACCGAGGACATATGTACAACTCCTATCCAACAAGTTACTAATCGAACGCTCGTAGGTACATATCATCACAACTATCTTACTCCTTCCCTAAACCAGCTCTATTACATGGTGTTCCCGTATTTAGAGGAGTTAGAACAGTGGCAAAGAGACGAAATCAGATGGACAATTGATGGCTTCTTGAGCGTGTAGAGTAAACAAATTACCAGATTTAATACACTGGACTAGTGCCGGGGCATTTGCCAAGGGAGCCAAGGGTGGAAATTACAACACAAATGGCCCCACGATTGAGTTTGGAGTATGGGAAACGATGGAAAGCTGGACTGCTTCTTGGGATGTGACCTCGTGGCTTAGTATCTCAAACAAAGCCTCCGCGGCCAAAGAAGAGAGACAAAAGGTGTTCCAAAGTGCTTTGTCTTCAAATCAACAGCTTCGACTTGAATCTAAGAGTGTAGTTGAACACCAGGGCGGCAGAGAACAAGGGCGTCCAATTACCTTGCAGAATATTATCTCGTATAAGATAGCCAATAGGACATACTCATTTAGAGAGGTAAGCAAGCTGCTTTCGCCAAAAACCCTCTCAGCACAGTGTTCTGGATATCTTTCCTTGCACTTGGCTGGGAATATATCTAGAACACCCCAGGATACCATCGTATTTCGAGGCTCATGGATAGCCATTCTCAACCCAAATACCCCGTACCTCGATAGCATCCTAGGTCAGCACTATACGGATACAATCCACGGCAATAAGTCAAAGATCCACCGAGCTGCTCTGAGTGGCTGGTGTCGCAATATCAAAGCTCCTCCGGAGTAGAGCCCTCTATAATCTCGGCTGGGGGCCGGCACCTTGCGATGTCGGAACGGTCATATTGACTCAACTACAGAGAGTAGTCCTAGTTCAATCGGACAGTCGCAACGGTATCACATGCTTGAAGGAGTGAGATAAAAGACACTCTAAATTGGGCTTGGCAAGCCCAGGCCAAAGAGAAGGGCAGACTCGAAAGGAACGGCTATGTCAAGATCGTATAGTCCTTCCTTATGAAATCTTTCAAGGACAATGAAGTCGGGGACTATATTTTAGATGCCGGTGTCGGGCTTGTCAATATCTTGGAGTCTTGGTGAAACTCTCTCTTAAGCCGTTGGTCCCTTGGCGGCTGAGCCCCCAAGGCTTGGGGGCTTGCGCCATTTGCGAAGTGTTGGCGATAAGCCCTCCCGTTGGTGGACCTGAGGTTTATCCTTGTTCACAAGCGAAGTCGGAGCCCAAAGGGCGTGTGCCATGACTCTTGGTGTTTCTTGGTGTTTTCTTGGTGGTTATATTTATGGGCGGTGTCCCTGTCATCTTCGATTCCTTCTTTTTTTTTTTTCTTTCCCCTTTCCTTTTTTTTTCCCTCACCAAAAATTGATATGAGACTTTTGAATATGTTTAACTAATATGACCATACTAATATGACCACTAACAGAAACCGTTCCCCTTATCATCTGTGGGCTTGGCAGGCACCGAGCACTAAGATCCACCCTTCGCTTCCTCTACAACTTACGAGAGAATAATTACCCCGGAACCAAGAACAGACCAGACCAGACCAAGATCGGAAGGGAAATGGTTTCTCTCAGGTCATCGCTCCAGACATCATTGAATGGCATTGGCTATTGCCATCTCCTTACGGGGAAACAAAAACAAGGTGCCGGGTAAGCGGGTAGCTTGAAGCTTTCGAGACATTCGAACACAAAACGAGGGGAAAAAAGGCCCCAACGTTACATTCGGAAAGAAGACCGATATCATATGGCGATTGGGGGAAATATTCAGGACGAATCCCCAGGCCGAAAACGAAACTCCCCGAGCCCTGGAATGCCGAAGGCATATAGGGAATGCCTAAGCCCTACAACATACAATATAGCCCGGTCAATCAGATCCCGAATATATCCCGATTGCAAGCGGAGCATGGACTTGACTCCGGAATTTGGAAAGGAAAAAAAAAACGACATTTGCCCTCGTGGCGAATTCAACCGGAGACGTTCTCAACTTGGAAATTTTTCAAGCTTCACCGGCAATCTCCGACTGGGATTCTCAATGTGATTCGATGGAAAAAAAAAGGAAAAAGTGGACTCGGACTGGCCCTTCCAGAATCCCCAGATGCCAAAAGATTCCAGGACCAGCTCATTCGCTCGGATGGACCCAATCTGAGTCAATCCACTCAGTACTCGGCATTTCATTGCTTGATTTTTGTTCACTTCCGTGCCGTGTGTGGTTACATTCGTGGGTCAACTCATCTTTTCAGCCATTTGCCGTTGAACGATAGAGACCGACGATCGCATCCACGGTCCTGCGAACAATGGCCAATATCCGTTCAATATGCGACCTTCTCAGATGAGCCTTAGTGGCATATGGGGGAAAAACATTGAAATTGCTTTTTTATTTTATTTCTTTTTTTATATTTCCTTTTCACTCGAGATAAGACAGTCTTCCGGTCCCACTCAGCCATCGGATGTTGGGTAAATGAAAAATTGCATATATAGTATTATTCACACCCATTTTTTTCTTCTTCTTTTCTCTACTCTTGACTGCGATTTTTTCTGGCCCTCTTGAAAGAGAAGGCATCATCTGGTCTCGTAGCCATGTCGTCCACAGACCGTGAGATTGAGACTCCTGCTGCGTATGTATATCTTATGCCTGGACAATTCATGAGTTTGCAACTGACCCTATCTTCAGTCCTCCGTCCTATGACACCGAGGACGTCTCCCAACATGTCGTCCTGAATGAAAAGGCCATGGACGCCGATTTCGACAAGGAGAACCTCGTCACCGCAGACGGCGGTGAACCCACGCTCTCGGAGAAGACTTCCTTGCGCCATGTCGCAGAGAACCTACCCCTCTCCGCCTGGTTGGTGGCCGTTGTCGAACTCTGTGAACGTTTCACATACTACGGCATGTCCGGTCTGTTCCAGAACTACATCCAGCGACCTCGCGATGGTAGTCAAGGACGTGGTGCGCTCGGTATGGATCACCAAGGTGCCACCGGTCTCACGACCTTCTTCCAGTTCTGGTGTTATGTTACTCCTATCATCGGTGCCATCGTCGCCGATCAGTACCTCGGCAAGTACAAGACCATTGTGCTGTTCTGTCTCATCTACATGGTTGGTCTGCTCATCCTGGTTTGTACCTCCATCCCCACTGCCCTGGAACACGGCTCGGGTATTGGTGGTTTCATTGTTGCCATCTTGATCATTGGTCTGGGTACCGGTGGTATCAAGAGTAACGTGGCTCCTTTGATTGCGGATCAGTACAAGCGGAAGAAGATGGCCATTTCCACCACCAAGAAGGGCGAGCGCGTCGTCATCGACCCCGCCCTGACCATCCAGCGTATTTACATGATCTTCTACGGATGTATTAACGTCGGTTCGCTCTCCCTTCTCGCCACCCCCTACATGGAACTGTACATCGATTTCTGGCCCGCCTTCCTTCTCTGTCTCTGCATGTTCATGGTCGGTACCCTGGTGATCGTGCTCGGCCGCAAGCACTACGTCGTTCGCCCACCCCAGGGCTCCATCATCACGGACGCTTTCCGTGCTATCTGGATGATGATCAAGAACCGCAACATGGATGCCCCCAAGCCCTCATGGCAGACCGAGCACAATGGCGCGTCCACTGTCAACTGGGACGACCACTTTATCGACGAACTGAAGCGCGCCCTGGTCGCCTGCCGCGTGTTCGCCTTCTACCCGATCTACTGGGTTGTCTACGGACAGTTCTCTAGCAACTTCGTCACCCAAGCCGGCGAGATGGAAGGCCATGGCATCCCCAACGATCTGATGCAGAACTTTGACCCCATCTCCATCATCGTTTTCATCCCCATCCTCGAAACCTGCGTCTACCCCGTGATGCGCCGCATGAAGATCCCCTTCCGCCCCGTCACCCGTATCGCCCTTGGCTTCGTCGTCGGCTCACTTGCCATGATGTACGCCGCTATCGTGCAACACCTGATCTACTCCGCCGGGCCCTGCTACGACTCACCGTTGTGCGAGGCCTCCATGATCGACGGCATAGCCCAGGGAAACAAGGTGCACATCGCCATCCAAACCCCTGCCTACGTCTTCATGGGTGTGTCTGAGATTTTCGCCTCGGTCTCCGGTCTCGAGTACGCATACACCAAGGCCCCGCCCAGCATGAAGTCCTTCGTGCAGGCCATGTACCTTCTCACGAACGCGTTCGGATCCGCCATCGCCGAAGCACTCACCCCCGCCGCCTTCGATCCCGCCATCATGTGGATGTTCACTGGTCTTGCCTGTGCATCCTTCCTGTGTGGTATCATCTTCTACGCCATCTTCCACCACCTGAACGACAAGGAAGATGACATGAACGCTCTCGATGCCGATGACTATATGCCCGAAGCCCCGGTCGATGCGGAACGACACGAGTCCAAGTCCCAGTAAGCATCGCACCCGCGGTGTTTTTTGTAATATTTTGTTTTTCTTTGTTCTTTTGGCATTCGCATTGGCATTGCAAGTATCTCTACGCTGGGATCGTACTTTTTTTTTCATCTTCGCTTGCATCATCGGAGCACTTTCTGTGTTTTAAAACTGCTGTGCAGATCATGAGACGTGGTATGATATGACGTTCGGTTTAATTTAGTATATATAACTCATAAATAAAAATGAAAATAATCAATATACAATATAAAGAATTCAGGTCCACATCTTATCTTCAATGTACTATGGGTATGTACAATTCTATTTTCGTGTATGGATATGATCGACTGTTAGCGGTACTCCTAGACTCCAAAGGCCTCCATGGCCGATTCGGCTACTCCACGCCAGTGGCCCACTCGGTCTTGAGCCTGGCCGCGGGGACAGACCTCCACAATGGCACGAATATGATTCACCGCAGTCTGCATGGACTCTTGAAGTGGATTCAACTCCATGTCATCAAGCATCTTCCCCGCTCCCTTTTCGCGACAGACGGATTCAAAGAGCTTTTCCATCCGGGTCTGCTCCTCTTTGTCTTCTGGGGTCGATTTCATATTCCATAAAAAGGCACGGGGTGGATTCCAGCGAGGTGCGGGCACTACACTGCTGAACTCCCAGTCCAGAACAGCGGTAATAGGACAGTCGGGCTGATCCGGGTCACACATGATATTTGCAAAATGGAGATCCCTATGTGCGAGGACATAGACGACTTGGTTCAGTTGTGCGGCATATTCCTGAATAGCTGCGGTAAAGGCGTGAATTCTCGGAATCAGATCTCTATAAGATTCAAGTGACGGATGCTTTTCAATGGCGTAGATATAGCGATCGAGACAGGCGACGGTGAAGGTCACGAAGCTATCGAAACCCTGAGAAGGAATAGGGTTCAACGACTCAAGGGACTCGGATCCCGCCCAGTACTTCTCGAGATCGGGCGATTCCCAGAAATTCTCATCGATTGGAGGTCCGTGGGTGATTTCTCCATTTGTGAGGGTCAACCCGCCGACATAGCTATCCCAAGGGTGTGCATGAAGCTCAATCAGGTAGTCTGTCAATTGGTGAACCATTTTAGTACGGACTTCTATCGACAGAGTATCGTAAATCTGATCGATACTCTTCCCGGGAACCTTTTCGAGGAGAGTGAATTCATGACGGATGATGTTATTATCGGTAGAGTCATAGCGAATGATGGCGGGGATAGGGATGGTAGTGTTCTGATGGACCCATGTCATGACTCCGACTTCATTGCGAGTTTTGATGGCGGGGAGTTGACACCCTGAGATACGCAAGACCAGAGTTACCGAGCCATCTGCATTAACTGGAAGCACAGACCCATCCGATGTATCAATCGGGGTATGTGCTGCAAAATGGACCAGGTAGATAGAATGAAATGCCGCTGTGACTTGGAGAGGTTCGATCGAGGTAGGAGCGGGGAGATTCAGGGACACGATAAGTTGACTGATAGTGTCGGCGCTCACTGGAGAAATATAGCTGTCGGTGTCCATTGTAGAGGATGAGGTCAGGGAGTCTCAATATAGGGATTGTTGACGGGACGATTGTTGAGAGGATGTAAGACATGGCGCTAACCCTAGGTCGTTACTAGTAGCATGTGACCGGCATTTATGTACTGCTACATCAGTACATGTAGTATGAATAATAGATGATAATTTCTATACCTGGAGTTCCAGGCATGTAAGTATATCAAAGGTTATATATAGAAGAGTCACTTGCGCAAATTATGTTTCTTTTTTCTGCTGTCTACCTAAACAACTGAGAAGAAGGGGGGGGGATATCTTACAGATATCATGTAAACAGTGTATCTGAGGCTACTAAAAAAGACTACTAAGAAGACATGACAAGGCCGGCCCTCTACTCTTGTATGTCCTAAGTGAAAATAGACGAGTATAGCCGTTGGTATACTATACGGTACAAACCGTGATGCTATAGGGGAAGGATAGAATCCATTTCGAACTCGAAATGGTAACTCTGACTTGGCCTTTTGAAGTGTAATTGAGGCTGATAGTACATTACACATTTACCCAGAGACCATAGTTTGATTTCCCCGATTCGGAAGGCCAAGCCTCTGCTATATCCCTTGTAGTATCGCTTTTATATACTAAAATAGAAGCCTAGCCTCTATAAGCAATGCTATATGATACTTATTTATATATTAGGCAGACATGAGAGAAAGGCATCAAAATAATAGATCTGATCCTGTACATAGATCTACAGAGTACATGTAAATAGATAGTTGCCTATGAGGCTCATAAGAGCCTTGGGTCCTGATTGGCCAAGTTTCGTATAACAATTTTCAGCGCGTGCTATTTCCGACTTGCCTACAGAGAATAGCAATGTTCGCTTGGATTTCATTCCTATTGGAGCCTATATTGTTCATAAACTACATCATAATCATGACGTTGCAGACTCACGTTGCCACAGACCGTTAGACAAGTACTGGGTACATGTTATTAAGTGGATATTACCGGTCAAAGTCAAGTACCTAGTACCTTGGAAAATATATGCGGATCCTTGACCGAATGTCGATCCGTCTTAAATAGAAGGGTGAATGGTCAAATCTCAAAGACTCCACAAAGCCGCAGCTCTATGTAGGAACAGTGCACTGTCCATAATTGTTAAAAATAGGGGGACCCCTAATAAACCACCTTTTTCGCTATGAAACTTATGAAAAAAAATATAAAATAAATGAAAAATATATGAAACCTGATAAACCCTTGAATCATTTAATTCGCAAAAACGTTCGCGACTAACCCCCGGACCTTATTGGCTTTGCTCTCCCTGACACCGCCAGCACTTCTGCCCGTACCCTCCACCTCTCCCGTCTCACCCTTCCCTCCTTCATCTCCCCCCCTTATTGTCTTCCCATTTCAAAACCTAAGAATCTGCACATCATGAGTGTGAGTGAACCAATGTGACCTCCTTGTTTACCTAAATTTGCTTTCTGACGCGACTTGCCCTAGTACCAGAGCTTAGGGGATAACAACTCAGGCGGCTACGGCCAGTACAATCCGTACGGAAGTCAGCAACAGAGCAATCCCTATGGTGCCCAGGAACAACCACAGAGCTATGGATATGGTGCTGGTTACAACCAGGCTGGTGCCGCAGAACAGGGAAATGGTGGATATGGTATGTCGAAGTCTCGCTGTCGCACCTTGCGAGTCTAATTTCTCTCGACAGAGATGTCCAACATGAACCAAGCCTCAGCTGGTGGCCCAACTGCGATTCTGAACAAGTGCAAGGAGATGAACGAGGGCATCACTGAGCTAACCAAGAAGCGCGAGACCCAATTGATCGCCGCCCAAAAGGCCCTTCTGGACTCGAGCACCGGCAAAGAAGACCAGGCTTCCCGCCAAACACTCGATTACATTGAGGATGAGATCAACACTGCGCTGCGCTACCTGCGCGACCAGTTCAAGCGCATCAAGGAGACCCCGGGATCCGGCGACTCGCGCGTGCAGGGCCAGGTCGAGAACGTCAGCCGAAACCTGCGTCGTGAGATCGAGCAGTACCAGCGCACACAGAGTGACTTCCAGAAGCGTCTGGAGGAGCAAGTGCGCCGCCGATACGAGATTGCCAACCCCGAGGCTTCCCCCGAGGAGTTGGAGCAGGGTGTGCAGAATGTTCTGATGGGACAGGAGCAGAGCTTTGTTGTATGTTCTTTCCCCTCGAATCTTTGTAGTCGATTGCTAATATTTGAGGATTAGGTTCCGGGTACTCGCACTCGTCAGGCCAACGATGCCCGTCAGGCTACTCTACAACGTTCCGCCGCCATCCGCAAAATCGAGCAGGATCTGATCGAACTGAGCCACTTGTACAACGAGGTCGCAGAGCTTGTGCACCAGCAGGAGCCTGCAGTCCAACAGATTCAACAGGGAGCCGAGGAGACACACCGCAACGTCGAGCAGGCCAACACCAAGCTTACCACCGCTATCCAGAGCGCCAAGAACGCTCGGCGCTGGAAGTGGTATGCACTGATTATCATCCGTAAGTATTCGCCTGTCTTGCCTACCAAAATCTGGCCCCGCTAACCTAGTCTCTAGTCATCATTATTGGTATTGTTGTCGGTGTGGCAGTCGGGGTCACGAGCAACAACAATAAATGATCTGTCTGTTGCACCCTTGTTATTTCCTCCATGTACGACCTTTCCCGGGGATGTCCGCATTTCCCCATTTGTCTTTATCCCCTCGTTATACCACCCCTTCGCATTTCCTTGTGTAAAAGCAATGTCTTTCAGACCCTCTTTTCTCTTGTGTCTTTGCCTCCTAGCTGTACCTGCGTGTTCGTGTACAGCTGCTCTGCACCTAACACGCGATGGCCCTTGATGATTGTCGCCGTTTCGGGGCTCGTGATGTCGCGGCGCATGGATGTATATACTAGATTGCTTTCTTCCCCCCCCTGTTTGTCGCTAGAACCTATGTAATACTGTCTAATAATCGATTCCTTTGCGCATGAGTCTTGATATATACCGCTAAGTCCTGGAATAGATGGATAGTGTAATGTAATGCAAATTCAACTCATTCGTCTAGGGGTATCCGACTCAACAGACTCTTTCAGAATAACGAGCACCAGAACGCCCAATCAATCCGGCATTTATGCCTTCTCCATCTTCTCTTTCCTCTCCTTCTCCTTTCTCTCCTTCTCGCGCTGCTCCTCGGCCGGTGTCTTCGTCTTCAACTGTAATGCATGCAGTCCCCCCCTCACGAGCCATCTCTTCCTTGAGCAATGCGTAGACCATACGGTGGCGAGCGGGCTGCATCTTCGACTCGAAGGAGTCGGAGACAATTGTCACACTGCGAAAGATTAGACATTCACTCATGTACAGTGTTCGGATGTGGGGGAGCGGACTGGAAATGCGTCTCCTTCGACACCGACCCTTCCATTGCAGCGTGGTGCGCATGGAGGTGAGAGTCATTTCGGATCTCGAGTTTCGAAGGTGTGAATGCGTGGGCGATCTATATATAAAACAAGAGAGACGAAATGTTAGCAATGCAGATGAACAACACGGGGAGAGCTCACCTTGTCGCGCATGACATCCTCCAACGGGGTATTGGAGGCCATCCTAGTAGAAACAGAGAAGAGACGGCGAGGGATCAGTCCCGGAAGACTGCGAAAAAGCATTTAGAGGATAAAAGGAAGCGATCAGAGGGAAGAAGGAGAGAGAAACGTCCGTAGAAGCCAATCGGATGTTTTTTTTGATTTCGGGGAACTTCACTCTCATATGACATCAACTTGTCTTTCGCTCGACACCTCAATTGGGCATCTTTTTGGCCGTGAGATGAATTCCAAATATTAGAAACCTGAGATTTAAAATGTCTGGCAGTTTACTCTCCTTGCTTTCGCGTTCGAATGCGCGCGTCTGCTTCACTCGGCGAACGCCTCTCTGCGCGAGACTCTTGTCGACTCTCCCGAACACACATATCTTCCGCGCACTACAGAACCATGACCCTGAAAGCCTGGCTATTGTGCATAGTGCCTCTTCCCGGTCATTCACCTATGGTAGTCTAATTGCCGACGTCGTTCGCGCTAAGGACGACCTAAAACAGAAGGCCGCGAAAGCGCAGGGCCAATTGGCTGGCGAGCGGGTTGCTTTTCTCGCCGAGAACAGCTATGACTACGTAGGTACTGTTGTCTCAAAATCCCATTGAAGAAGATATCTAGAACACTAATAGACATATAGTGACGCTGCTGGCGATCTTTGCTAGTGATGCCATTGCGCTCCCGCTCTCGCCGTCTTTCCCGACTGCCGAGCTGAAGTATATCCTGGACAATTCACAGGCTAGGATGCTGCTAGCAACCGAGAAATACGCCGATAAAGGTATGGAGCTCTTGCGAGAGGGTTTGGAGCGCGAGCCTCTGTTTGCTATCCGCAATAAGATCACAGAAGGCACATCGAGTGGCGAAAACGTAACCTTGCACGATCTGGAGCAGCCTTCGTCCGGTGGGATGATGCTGTACACATCTGGGACCACGAATCGACCGGTAGGCCCAGTTGACTTCCTGTAAGGAGCTATTACTAACTTGGAACAGAAAGGTGTTCTCATCCCCCAATCGGCACTGGCCGCGCAAGCATCTTCACTACTAGAAGCATGGAAGTACACACCGGATGATCGTCTTCTTCACCTGCTCCCACTTCACCACATCCACGGGGTGGTAAATGCAATTCTGGCACCAATAGTAGCAGGCTCCTCAATCGAGTTCATGTACCCCTTCAACCCGGACAAAGTCTGGAAACGATTAGCAGCACCTTTCCTCCCATCCGATGCCTCAAAATCACCTATTACATTCCTCACTGCTGTCCCAACAATTTACAACCGCCTCATGGCCACCTTCCCCAAACTAACCCCGGAGCTCCAAAAAGCCGCAAAAGAAGGAATCTCCCCACAAAACCTCCGCTTGAACATCTCCGGCTCCGCCGCTCTCCCAACTCCAACAAAAGCTGCCTGGACAAACCTCAGCAACGGCAATGTCCTTCTAGAACGCTTCGGCATGACTGAAGTTGGCATGGCGATTAGTTGCGGCCTCGATGCCACAGACCGCGTCGACGGCAGCGTCGGCTGGCCACTCCCAGGCGTCGAAGCCCGACTCGCTGATCTTGAGACGGGTGCTATCATTCCAATCGAAGAAAAAGATCCAAGTGGCCGCGAACGCGAAGGCGAGATTCAGATCCGCGGCGAAACAATCTTCGACCATTACTGGGGAAACGAGAAAGCCACGCGCGAGAGTTTTGTGCAGAGCGACGACGGAGGCAGATTGTGGTTCTGCACAGGCGATGTAGCCACCCGTCGGGTAGTTGATGGCGCTGGTAGTGGAGCAAGCGGAGCTTGGGCTCAAGGACCGATGTATTTCATCCAGGGGCGGAAGAGTGTTGATATCATCAAGACTGGGGCTGAGAAGGTTAGCGCGTTGGAGGTCGAGAGGGAGTTACTTTCTCTGTATGTTGTCTTTTTCAGATATTCGCTTGAAAGATCTATACTAACGATGCTACTCTAGACCTCAAGTTGTCGAAGCTGCTGTGGTTGGTCTCCCGTCTGAACAATGGGGCCAGAAGATCGCTGCTGTGGTTGTCCTGTCTCCTGATGCGGCTGCTTCGGGTCGTAATGGTCAATCTTGGGGTCCGATGGATATGCGGCGCGCGCTAAAGGGCTCTCTTGCTTCCTTTAAGATTCCACAGGAGATGAAGGTTTTGGAGGCTATCCCGAGGAATGCGATGGGGAAGGTCAATAAGAAGGCACTTGTGAAAGAGGTCTTTGGTGTTTGAAGAACGAAAAAGCCTTCACTGTACAATATTGCAAATATACTAAGCCTAGAGTGATGTGAGTGATGAAGATCTGTGGGCTTATTACTCTCTCTACTCGATCAAAACATGTACAATACTGCCCAAGGACCTTGAAGAATTAAATTATTTCTCATTTGTATTGGAAAAATAAACTGCTTGCTCTTAATTTCAAATTCGTAGCATCATATCAAGACCGGTGTGTCTGATCAAAAATGGAAACCAAAGTCTAGTCCAGTGTCCACCTAGATTTGACGGTGCAGAGCCTCATTCTCAGCACGGGTAACATCAGAGTCGACACGGGGATCAATCTTGTTGGCGATGCTTGAACTATGAGGACCGGTGGTACTGGTAGCACCAGTGGTAGTTCCAGTGGCAGGGGTATTGTAGCTGCTACCAGCAAGAGCATCCTGACGACCAGTACTATCAAGGCCGGAGCCACCAAGCGCCAAGCTAGCGGGGATACCAGTAGTGGCGCGAGTGTGGGTGCCGTGGGTAGTAGTACCAGCGCCAGTACCAGCGAGAGCATTGCTGTCGCGGTCCGAGTCAACGCGGGGGTCCAGCTTGTTGGCGATGTTGGAGCTGTGAGGTCCAGCATTTGTGCTGCTGCTACCCGGGGTATTAATGGGAGAGCCGGTAGTGTATACAGGCTGCTCGCGGATAGTGTTGTGGGTAGCGCCAGTTCCAGAGCCCAGGGTCGAGCTGTGGGTGCCCGTAGCGGTGGCGTGGTGAGTAGATCCAAGACCAGCACCGGCACCGGTGCCAGCGCCAGAGAGACCGCCGTGATGAGCACGGTTATCGCGGTCAGAGTCGACGCGGGGATCAATCTTGTTGGCGATGTTGGAGCTGTGGGGACCGACATTGGTGCTGCCAGTGGTGCCGTGAGTGTCTGTAGCAGTAGTGCCGTGGGTAGATCCAAGGCCGGCGCCAGTGCCAGTCACACCTGAGGTGCCGTGGGTAGTGCCAGAGCCCAGAGCAGAGCTGTGAGTACCGGTTGTGCCGTGAGTAGATCCAAGACCGGCACCGGTACCAGCACCAGTGAGACCCTCGTGGTGAGCACGGTTATCGCGGTCAGAGTCAACGCGGGGATCAATCTTATTGGCAATGTTGGAGCTGTGAGGACCGACATTGGTGCTGCCGGTGGTGCCATGAGTACCTGTAGCAGTGGTGCCGTGAGTGGATCCAGAGCCCAGAGCAGAGCTGTGAGTACCGGTTGTGCCATGAGTAGATCCAAGACCGGCACCGGTGCCAGTCACACCCGAGGTGCCGTGTGTAGTGCCAGTGCCGGTGAGACCCTCGTGGCGAGCACGGTTGTCGCGGTCAGAGTCGACGCGGGGATCGGCCTTGTTGGCGATGTTAGAGCTGTGAGGACCGACATTGGTACTGCCAGTGGTGCCATGAGTGCCTGTAGCGGTGGTGCCGTGAGTGGATCCAAGACCGGCTCCAGTGCCAGTTACACCTGAAGTGCCATGTGTAGTGCCAGTACCAGTGAGACCTTCATGGCGTGCACGGTTGTCGCGGTCAGAGTCGACGCGGGGATCGGCCTTGTTGGCGATGTTAGAGCTGTGAGGACCGACATTGGTGCTGCCAGTGGTGCCATGAGTGCCTGTAGCAGTAGTGCCGTGGGTAGATCCAAGGCCGGCGCCAGTGCCAGTCACACCAGTGCTGTGAGTAGCACCAGAGCCCAGGGTAGAGCTATGAGTGCCTGTAGCGGGGGTTGTGCCATGGGTTGTTCCATGGGTTGTTCCAAGACCAGCGCCAGTCGCATCGGTGTGGGCAGCACGGTTGTCTGAGGCAGTTAGTATCAAATAATGAGGGATGTGAGACGTGAAGTGAGGTGATATGACAAACCTTTATCACTGTCGACACGGGGGTCGAGTTTATTAGCCAAGTTAGACTTGTGAGGTCCATGGTTGGAGGACTTGGTCGACTCATGCGACTCATCCTTCTTGCCGGTCAGGACCTCTTCGGCCTTGCGTACAAACTGCATATTGGTGATGGTATTGATGAAAGTTGATGTTTGAGTTGTTGTTTGAGTTGATGTTGGAGTTGAAGTTGGAGTTGAAGTGTAGATGTGGGAGATGGAGAAGATAAGTGATTTCCTGGGGAAAGAAGAGGGTATTTATATCCCCTTTGTAAGAGTCAAACATTAGAATGACGTTCATGTTTTCAATGTGATGGTGTACAAATGCACATTCCAGCTTGGAAAAGTATAGCAAACGCCTTCAGGTGCCACGATCTGCTACGATCTGCTATTGGGTAGGATGTACATGAATGGAGCTATATAGTCAGCCACTTAAATCAGGGTATTATCATAAAAAGGGCGAAATAAGAAACAGCCTCTAGAAAACCGGTCATTGAAACAGAATATCAAAATCCAAAACAATTGCGTCATGGGGACCTGCCAAGGAAATATGCCAACTATATGCACCTGGAGAAGTTGTACTAAACATATCCTAGTCCATTCTATAGCCAACCAGAACTGGAATGAGATCATGGCTAAAACTACATAACGCTGTATCTTGTTCTCAAGTCTCAGGTTGTACAATATACGTTACCTTGTACGGACTTGTAATAGGGCTTGGAAGTAGACTGGTTTGTCTATTAGTGGAGTTATTAACCAGCCAATGGCTGAATAGACAGGCACAAAGCTATGCCCACTTACTTTCTTTTAATAATATCAAACTGCCAGACTGCCAAACTGCCAAACTGCCAGACTACCAGACTGGGTTGAAGTTGGCTACGTCATCGATATAGTTCACAGTCACATGACCGGGGATCATCCATATTCCATGTGCTCTTCACATTGGATATCCTGGACAAGATGAGAATCTTATGTGATTGTTACTCTACATGAATAACATCTAAATATATTGGTCTAATACCTGCACATACCAAATCCCGAACCCCGATTTGGTCTACCACAATCCTCAATGAGACCAAGAGCCCTACGATTTGGTTCTCCAGATTGGTAGTATAAAGCTGCTCTATTTTTGACTGAACAGCGAAGTGCCAGGCCACTTGAATTGGGTTTCTACATGGCCTCCAATCGAGATCATCAGTGTTGACAGTTCCAGATATTACAGCATAACCTTGGAAAGTTAAGATCTGCGAGGCCTTGCTAGACGATATAATATCTCTAAGGCCAATGACAGCTCAAATATCTTCTCTGGCTAACTCATTGATAGAACCATTTCACGAAATTACCAGCCCCATTTTCAGACCTTCTCACTGCAAAGTCTTTGAAGCACCATGTTCCGATGCCAAGGTCAAGCCTTCAACAAGGATCCCATTGACTTACATGTTCTTTATTCTGTTCACTCGAGCAGTTCAACTCGATGAAAATCTCGACTGGAGTCCCCCATTGAGAGTCCTGCTTCCCCGTCAGACTACTTACACCCTCCAATTCAGAAGTGCACTTGCAGTCATGACTCATGAATGAGACCTGATCCTCAATGAGGTTGTAAATGGCTCCACCAAAAATTGCTGATGTCAGCATCCGGCCGCTCCCGCAACGCGTCCACGATATAGCTCGTCCATGAAGTTACATAGACACCTGAATCCGGTAATTCAGATCTATGGGGTTGCAGTTCGAGGTTTTTCAGAATCTTTGCTGGTAGACCCACATTTCCCCCCTTGCGACCCTTGACTTTTCACATTCATTCAAATCGAAAGGAGCATCCCTTGAAAACCGATAAAATACGTGCTTCTCCCACAGTCTTTACCATCTGAAGATTTCCGGCCACAGGTCGCATAATAAGCCATGTGGATCCTCTCATTCTGGCTTTTCCCCGTGATATCCGGGTGCATGTGGTTAGGTAAGGATCGAAATGCACGAGGGGTTGAAATCTACCTTACTAACTGCTCTATAGCGACGTTAATAGCCATGATGTCAACCTGGGCAGCGGACGGAAAACCAAGATATATTACCATGGACGATGGGCTCACCATTCCGTAAGTCTCACGAATGTATCTTCCGGCGACATAGACTGAGTCAATTGAACAATTAGTTATATTTCCCATATCGGAGCCGAAGGAATCAAACCGCTGTTCATTGCCGGCAGTGCAGTCACAGTTGTGTTCATGGATCTCGGACTCCTCGCTGAGCGTTGGCTTCGCCATGCCGGCCAACTTGCCCCGAACAAAGGGCGGCTCGACAAGGCCTGTGCTATTGGATCAATTCTTTTCTCCATTGCTGGGGCTGCAGGTCTCATTCTTCTGTCCATATTCGACACGAAGAATCATCACAGCCTCCACAACGGCTTTTTGGGCATGTTCATGTATGACTCCCCTCCTTTCTTCCCAGATAAATTTTCTAACTAGATTCTAGAGGGTGCTACGTGGTCTGCGCCCTCCTGGTGTGTCTGGAATACATCCAAATCGGCCGATTCTACCATCCACAAGCCCGTATCTTGATAGTCAGCTTCGCCATCAAAGCTCTTTTCGTCGTCTGCGAACTTGCTGTCGCCATTGCATTTGGCGTATGCATGAACAAGGGAAATAAGCAGAATGCAGCAGCTGTTTTAGAATGGGGTAATATTTCAGCCCCCGTTTGATTGTGCAAAAGAAGCTAACTTGAGCAGTTGCCGCCTTTATATTCGCTTTCTTTGTATTTTCTTTTATCATTGATCTCCTACCGTCTGTCCGTACCAAGAGACGAGTTCCTCAGGGTGAAAAGTATACTCGACCAGGTGTGGAGGATCGCCCAATTGACTTTTAGATCTTTAGGTCGAGAGTACAGTCTAATCTGCAGGTTATTAAATAATTATAATAGATTTAGAAGCGTTTTTGCCACGGACTTTGGCCACATGTGGTGATATCATCCATTCTGGGGGTAAGGAATAAAACCCCGAACGCCTCGGAAAAAGCACTTTGAATAATTCAATCATTTCAAGATTGAAAGCAATTAATACATTAATACATCATTAACATGGGCTTCTTCGCACACCCCTGTGGCACAGTCTCAACTATCTCCCATGTCATCCAATGCATCAGTTCAATAATCGTCCTCGGGATCACAGCCTGGGCAGTCCGCGAGACCAAAACCCTGACCGTGATTTTCTCCTTGGTGGTGGTACATCTCTCCAGATCTTATTATCTTCTTAAATATTGTAAAAATTCTAAATCCTTCCAGGCGGTCCTCACCCTAGTCGTCTATGGCATAACACTAAGCACCAGCTGCATTACAAAACGCCATAGATGGCACGTTCTCCCTATGCTTCTGACCGACGCAATGATTTCTTACCTGTAAGCATGACAATATGAACCGCCATGTTGATAGTAATAATTGCTGATCTCCCATCTAGCTGGCTCACTGCATTCATCTTCCTGGCTCGGGATTTCAACCAGGTCAGCTGTAAGGTCCACCTCTGGAACAAAGAGGCAGTATGTAGCCGGAAGTATACGGTCGAGGCATTCAGTTTCATTGCATTGTAAGTGACATCTGACATTCTTTTCAATACGGTACAGCTGGCTAATCACAGGGCAGCTTTACTACTTTCGTGGCTCTGGTATTCGAGACTTTGTATACTTACAAGCCGACAGATGAGACGATGCGCGAGAAGAAAACCGGGGTGACAAGCTTGGAGGATAATCTCCGGAGTGCCGGGGTGATGAGCCCAGGGTGAGTATGGCGACCTTCTTCTGTTGAACAAAAAGTGCCTGCAAATGTTTCATAGTGATGTTCTCGAAGGCGTAAAATCTTTCAATTATATAACGATTGGCGATGTCTATTGGAGATGCATATAATACAGGTATTGTACAAGTAGTCGCGCAAACTCAAGCCCATTCGCCCTTCCTCTCAAACGGCTTTATAAACTGAGTCGCCTCCAGAGTCACCTGGAGAGACGACATATCAACGGCAGTGATATGAGCTTCGACCATGCAGAAGATATCCAACTTATCTTTATCTGGGAAATCATCGGGAATGGTGACCGAGCAGTTCACGCCAAGATTAGTGATGACGCCGGCATACTCAGCGTCCAGATGTCTAGGCCTGATGCGCGGGGTGCGTAGCAGACATGGGAATGTAACGGGGAGATTACACTCGGAGAAGTAGAATGCGCGGAAGAGCAGCATACAAGCCCAATGCTGTGTGGAATATTTGTCGAGATTTCTGAGACGTCTGCGCAGTGGTTGGGAGTAGATGAGGTGTGCGTCGATTTCAGATTTGGAGAAGGGGAGGAGAGAGGTGGGAGTGGTTTTTGTGCTATTGGTGGTAATTTCAGTGGCAGTCTCTGCTAGTTCTGTCTCTGCTGGGACTGTCTCTGTCTCCACTAGATCGATCTCTGCAGGATCGGGGCTATCAACAAGAGCGTCAAATTGACGGCCGTGTTCATGCTCGAAACGCAATGCTGCCTCGATCTGGTAATGCGCAATGACGTCCGTGTATCGGCGCAGCGGACTAGTGCTCTTGACGTAAGTATCCAAGCCCAGGGTGTGGTGCTTAGTTGGGATCGTGGAAGAATAGGCCAGCGGCACGCTGAGCTCATAGAAACCCTCACCGCCAAAATGGGCCAAGTTTTTATTGGTGACGTGTCCGTATTCCGGGTCATACCAGGTGCCATCGTAGATAACGGGGATGTTGCGTGTGGCACAGAATTGGCCGGAGATATGCCCAGCCAGATTCATGATCAGGGAGACCAAATTATCCCGGGATTGGTCGCGAACGTCGTACGGATCATAGGAATGCATATTGAGTCGAATGACCGGATCACCGAGATAGTGGCGTCCGGTTGTGGCTTCTAAATCGTATGGCGGCATCGGGGCGTTTCCTGACTGGACTGAGACAGAAAGATCTGGGCTAAGAGGAGTGAGGTCCATGGCGCCATTCTTTCTGCGAGTTTGGCGGAATGCGAGCATGAGTTGACGCATGATGTGGAATCTATCTTTGTCCTCGGGCCGCAGGCCTTGTTGGATTGTTTTACCATGTGGTATGGGTGGCTCAGTGAACGCGCCACCGACGGTGAGCGACTCCAACTGTTCTTCGGAATCGGGGTCGAAGAAGTCGCGTAGTGTTTTGTGAGTCAGATTGATGACATTGTGAATTATCCCGTTTTGGATCTTACTATCCAAGATCTCTCCTCGACGATTCATCTTCGCACTGAATGTAAGTACTGGCCGGCCAGCCGCCAAACTGAAGTGAGGTTCAGTGAGAGCTTTGGGAATCATGGGATAAGTGCGTTCCGGGATGTAGCTGGTGAAGAGTCGTGAGGCTGCATACTGGATGATCGGGTTCTCATGCCCAATAAAGGCTGTGGGGTTGGCAACATGGACATGCACCCAGAATATATCATGAGATCCTGGGATGGGCTCCAGCGATATACCGTCATCAATTTCTTGCGCCGTTACATCATCCACACAGTAAACTGGCATATCTCCCCAGTCCTTTCTCAGGTGCTGCATAGAATCTTGCAGCTGATCGGCAGTGAGTTTACTGCAAGCGTCCTCAATCTCTTCCAACTCCATGTCCTTTGCGAGGGACACGCCATGCCCAGGAAGCATCAGATACTGATCAAGGGGCAGAAGATTCTCCCAAGGGGCTATGATGCCGATCTCCTGCAACAAAAGCCGTGTTGAAGCCTCACTTAGACCGAGAGTATTGTACATCCCCGTGGCGCGCATGATATGTGTTGCTGTCGATCTTAAAGTGCCCGACGGCATGACAATGGCAGGGACCGAGTACAGCTTCAGATATTCAATGATCACAGAGTCATCTGCGCTGAACTTTTCGGTGGGAAGTTCGCGGAACACCAGTGGGTTTCCATCCTGACCAGGCGAATATCTGTTGGAGGATGGTCCCACGCTGGACATAATAGTCGGAGAGCGGAGCCTTCTGCTAAGGCGAATCAACCGCTGTGATTTGGCGATAAATCGGTTCATTGGGTGATCCTTGGACGCCTGGGTATCTTTGCGCATTGCGGCACGAACACAATGCTCTTGGTGTTCATGAGTCCAGTCGACAACCTGTTTGACAACGTTGGCGATCCGTTTTGGTTGTACGGTATACATCCGACTGAACAAAGAGCTGCTATCTTTTTCGATGAGGAAAGGATGCCGGCGAACAGCCTGATGAACAGCAAACATGTTGACGCTCGTCAGCTCCGATTCCTCAATGCCAAGAGCAGTCGTTGTCAATTTTTCGAGGCTCAAGCAGAGAACTTCGGTCTCATCTGCCACCTGATCATGAAGATTGTCCAATATCTGAGAATTTTCTCTATAGAATTTCAAGATATGAGTCTTGAAGTTGCCCATCATCCTCAGAAGAGGAGCACCCAATGGCCTCGGAAGACCTCCCTCGGGGGTCACCTGGATATCCTGGCTTACGATAGCCTCATTATCCGGGAACCATGGTGTTAGAGGCTCGACAAGCTCAGTAGGTGCAAATCCTTTGATAACATAGTCGAGCTCTGCGTTGGAGCAGATGCGCCAGTTTCCGTTGCTATTGTAGAACTGTTTCTGTTTGTGAACAGAGCGTACGTAGATTCCGTAATTGAACACTCCATCTGAATTCAATCGGGCGATTAAGTCGCCCTGCTCGAGGTGTTCACCTTCAAATTCATCTTTATCCCCAGCGTCCTGGTTCAGCTTGTTCGGGTCACCCCAGGAGTCGATTGCATCGCGGCCGTTAGGCATTGTGCCAACCGATTTACCTGGTAATTCCAATGGCCGATGCTTGGAATCAGATCGGCGCACAGGGTCCAAATCATTGGGGTTGGTATCCAGCCATTTCCTTAGGTATTCTCGAATGTCTCCGTGCAACTCGAGTTGGGACCTAAGGATAATATTGCCATCGATGGGGACTCTTGGGTGTTCGTCTGGGTGGAATGTTTCCTGCTGAGATGTAACAAAATTTAGCTGGGAATAGCAGGCTTTCTCTCAATATAACATACCTCACTGCCCGCTCGAACGCCTTCAGCTGACCCCAATGACCTCGTCGTAGACCAAAAGCGTCGCCCCCCAGACAACACCGGAAGGTGAGTGGCGGACGTGGTCGACGTACATCCTGTGGGGCTCTGTCTCCATTTGCAGAGCACAGGTGAGCAATTAGCACCAGTCAGCTTCTGCAAAGCCCTTATTCTTGTAAGTGCCATTGCCAAAGCTTACGCAGAAAGAATGCGCCGGTGGCTCGAAAACTAAGTATATTCTGCCTGCAGTTGCTATACCGCCCTTGGCGGTATAAGTTTTGTCCCGTGATTTCGGATCTTGTTTCGACCAATCAAATCACAGTACAGATGTATAGAATCGAAAGTTATACGGAGAACAGAGAACAGTCTCTTGCACAAAGTATGCTTTTGTTTCCACCTTTTTCTGCTGTCTATCTATACAACCAAGATGGGGGACAAGCTATCTTAGAGACATCTATGTTGTAAACAGAATATCTGAGACTACTAAAAAGACTACCAAAAAGATATTACAATATCCATCACCAGGGAGTCACAAAGAACAACCACTTCATTTAAACAATCATTTCCCCTCCAGATTTGTAAATATCTGAAAGCATCCAGGTCGTTTTTCTTTAGCAAAATATCGACAATAGAGTCGTCAATTTCAACGGCTACTTCGTCCGAGACGGCAAACCCTTTGACCACAAGCTCTTCGCGCCAGTTGGCTGGGATAAATCCCCAAAGCCTCATCGCTTTCTAGGCAGCCTACCAGGCCATCGAGCAGTCGGGCCGCTGTGCGGAGAACACTACTTCTTATGCGCCATACAGAAATGAGAAGGTGTATGTCCGTGTCTATCTGTGTTTGCACAGCGTGGCTACGAGAGCATCACTTGCCACGAGCCTAAAGCGGCCACGAGAGCCCTCAAAGCTTCAACACAACCGGCGCTCGCATGCGCCCCATACGGCATGTTTGTCTTTAGCCGTTGCTATTCTCTTTTTCGGTGGATGTATGGAAATACTAGCCGAATTTTCCAGCTCTGTGATCAATACGAGCCGTTTCCAGAGACTTGACTAGTGTAAGCCAATAGACAACCCGTGGACAGTGCGGAGAAATATTACACCGCCGCTGGCTCTGTGTTTTTCCTTAGGAGGCCATCGGACGCAGTGCGAGACAGTAGGCCCATTTTTGCCACCATTGCTAGCATTTCGGTCTACCAGAACTAGATCTGCACGCCGTTGTTCGTGTCCACAACGTCCTGTGTTGCGTCTTTTTAAGAACGCGATGCAGCAGGCTAAGATATTTGCCAACTATGCGTCGCTTTTCGAGGCCCATGGCACCGTAATCCCCGTCGGAGACCCAGCAGAGTACGGAGTACAAGAATATTTATTCTCGTAGCTCTCCGTAGTCGTATCCGTAAGGACCCACTGCCCATTGGATCAATCAAGGGGCCACGCCGTTCCCGCCGAAGGCGCGTCCGGTGCTACTACAACATACGGAGAATGCTCGTCATGATCATCATGATCATCATAGCTAGTATCTATGTTGTATGTTGTACCCATCGTATATCGATAATAGAACAGCCAAAAGATAACGAAATAATACTCCGTACGTGGTCAGTGGATAGAAAAAGCAAATATTTGTCTGAAGGTGCTGTGAAAAGATCTTACAATCAAGGTCGTAGTGGCCAGCATATTTTCCTTCATGTCCTTTGAATTAATTAGGGGCCGAAGATGTCAACACACTCACTTCCACGGCCCGGGGGGTACGCAGTGAAGGAAGAGAGAGAATGGCCACACTGGATCCATTGACAAAAATTCCATAATAAGCACATACTGAGCATACCCCTGAGCATTCTATTAGTCAGACTGGATTTGTTTATTTCAGTGGATATCTCGAAGCGAGCTTGCATCTGTCAGTTATGCAGCGCATGGATGCGCTAGTGATGTATGGAGTATGATATACGGTCTTTTGATGGTATGGGCCGTATGGTTGCCATAAGACCCAAAGCAAGCTGGGGGCAATCCCCAGTGTTGTGATACTGGAATTCTGTGGACCCGTCAATCTGCTATATGATTGCATTACTCCGTACGGGGTATAGGTATGTGCCTGTTCCGCAAAGGATGTGTCATTAACAACGTGTTTCTATAAAAAGGGTGCCTAATCATCGTCTCGGCCTGCATACGGAATACTGGACAGTATGTTATTCTTCGCATAACAGCATAAGACTCAATATTCCAGCCTAATCTACGGAGTGCACGAGAGATCGGCGGTCTCATTTCTCCGACATTACATGCTGTACTCCGTAGAAACACCATCGTCATCCTCCACAGACTGCCAAGTACAATAGTCCCCGAAATTCGGGATTTGGACTATTGAAATCCTGGTGAACTCCTCGGGCACTGCATCGACACTTATCAAGACAAGGGTACAGGAGTAGATGGCTGCGTATACGGCCTTGTGTAGTCTTTTTAGTAGTCTTTTTTAGTAGCCATTCTAGTCAGTTGTATAGGTAGACAGCACAAAAAGGCGGAAACAAATACTTTGTGCAAGAGACTTTTCTGTGTATGTTGTATAACCTTTGAATACAGAGACATCGGCAATTTCTGGCTGCCTATCGGACTGGGTACTCCAGGATGTATACGGAGTACTCCGTACATCGTACCTAAATCCATAATCATCACGTTATACCTTCATACCCTGCTCTCTTGCTCCGAAAGTACCAATGCCCAACCTATACGGGGTACTCGTAAACCACTCTCAATATGACCTGTTGACACAAATCCCCGAGTTTCCACTTTTCTTTTCTTAATGAAAATATTGAAGATCGTCACCAATTGGGGGAAAACCTGTTTGCTATCATTTAGTTCATTATTGGAATGGACTCATCTCGGCCCCCGGCTCGGAGCGAACCGCATACTTCAAATAGAATAACTGTATCGATAAAGACGTGTCGATCTCGCGCAAGTCCACAAAAAAACTTGACAGGCCGCGAGAATCATTTCCTAATTTGTGTAAGCGAGAGTGATTCCACGAACATGTCAGGGGTAATCTCCCCCACGTTGAACTTGGAATGGAAAGACTACTCCCTAAAGACCTGAAATCACTCTTCAAGGCATAACGCACTAACCATTTATAAGTTAGCGTTGATTCATCTTGTCATCCTTTCCTCCTTCCTGACTTGGAATTGGTTAAAGCCCATAAAAGTTCCACCTTTGTCTCACTTGATCCGCTTATTTTCTCGACCTGTGTGAAAGCCAATACTCCGTACGGAATACTTTGTCTCCAGTCAACTTCTGTGGCTGAATTAGTGCCACTAACTTATAACTAGTGAAGCCCAGTCCAGGAATACCGATTTGACTCTAGTGGCATGCCAAGGCTTAATACATACGAACATGTTTGGTGATCTGTCGATCATTGGGGTCGAGACTTGTTCAAGGTTTTTGCTCTCTCTCAATTCATACGAAGTACTCTGTACACATTCCGCGAGCCGATTAACAAGGAAATTTCCCGGTTGGGACCCACTGCTGCACGATAGCCTCCTATCTGGCATGGAAATTAGGTGGCTAAATATATGTTATCCGTCGAGATCGGCACAAGTTATGCATTCGGCTATGCGAAGTTCGATCCGCAAACATATATAATTGACTTGCTTTTTCATGCCCAACACAGGCATGCACGGTATTTGCCCGTTCCGCCGCCATGTGTCGCCTTTTACGCCATCTGCAGGGTCCACAACTGTAGCCAAATGTACCCAAGCACGGTGGCGAACTCATCACATATTTATATTCAATTTGTGACCTCTTTCGGGATAAGAAGAAGGGCTTGTCCAATCGGAAATCGCGTGACCCAAGCCAGGCCTGAATGGAGTGGAGTCCGTGAACAGTGCTTTACAGAGGATTCTTCTCTGAGCTCGTTAGTTTCCGTTCCTGCCGGGTCCACCATTCAAGAGGAGTATGGTCAGTGGCTTGAAGAATATCCTCCGATTATGGAGTCGCCCAAGCCGAAGCTGTCGAAGACTTATATAAACTAAATCCATGGGCCCGCACCACAGAATTGATCTTGAGGGTGTATATCTGTTTGGCCACACATTCCCACACTATATCGTCCCTTTCCAATACTCCATTTGGACCACAATTTTTTTCCCCTATATTTTACAATACTATATTTATTATATCGTCTGTTTTCTTTCTACAACATGCTCTCAAGCAACGGATGGCGCGCTCTGGCGCTATCCCTGGCTCTTGTACCTGGGGCAATGGCAGATATCTGCAAGACGCTCGAGAACGGCGGCATTGATATCGAACACCGTATTTCATTGGCCTACAAGGCCGATCAGAGGGAATATTGGTCCACCGGATGCGGTGACCTCAAGCCAACATGCATTGCAGCTCCATCCAGTGCAGCAGAGATGGCGCAGGTTATCAAGAACCTGCACAATGTGGACACTCTCTTGTTTGTTCCCTCCTTACGCCAACCGCAATGATATCGACTAACCCTAAACAGTGCCATCAAGAGCGGAGGACATAACCCCAACAACGGATTTTCTAGTATCCAGGACGGATTGCTGGTCTCGACTAAGAATCTGGATCAGGTTGACTATAACCCCAAGGATCATACTGCTATCATTGGTCCTGGCCTTTCATGGGAAGAGGTCCAGAAAGGCCTGGCAGGAACTGGTCGGACTATTGTTGGTGGTCGAATTGGAGGAGTTGGAGTCGGTGGATATATGCTCGGAGGTATGTGCCTCAGAAATCAGCTCCGAGTTTATTTCTAATGATTTATAGCTGGTATGAGTTTCCTGAGCACCCAGTACGGTTGGGCTGCGAACAGTATCTTGGACTACGAAATTGTCCTTGCCAACGGCACCATTGTCCACGCAACCGAAAAGCAAAACCAAGGTGAGTGATACTATGCCAACCTTGTCATCGTCGAGACACTGACACTCGGCAGACCTCTTCCATAGCTTGAAGGGAGGCGGCAATAACTTTGGAGTTGTTACTGCATACACCGTGCAGACTCATCCTCAAGACCACAAAGTCTGGGGTGGCACCTATGCTTTCACATCCGACAAAGCCCCCAAGATTCTTGAGGCAGTGCGCAACTTCACCGACTATTACCCCGATGACAAGGCGGCAATCATCGCGACATTTGAGCGCGGTCTGTTGCTTGACTTCTGTCTTTTGTTCGTCTTCTACGACGGCCCTGAGCCCCCCGCTGGAGTCTTTGACGAGTTCACTGCTATTAAACACACCTCGAACGTCAAGACCTGGAATACCTACTACGACCTGCTCAAGCACAACGATTTCTTTATTCTTAAGTAAGACAAGCAACTCTTAATCCTTGAATCGCTTGCTAACTAGCTACTAGGGGACAACGATACAACATCGCCACCGAGACCACACCCCTTCCCAACAGTACTGTGGGAGCAGCCCCACTCCAGGACTACTATGACCATTTCCGCGACGTGACCAAGTCCGTACTAGGAGTGGCCGGCTCACTTGGCACAATTTCCTTCCAGCCCATGCCCAAATCGTTCTCTCAGAAGGCCAAGGACCGCGGTGGAGTAAGAAATCCATCCCCAATGAAAAAAGGGAGATCACATTACTAACAAAGCCCCAGGACCTCCTCGATATTCCCTCCGATCAACCGTACATTATTTTTGAGCTCGACTTCTCCTACGGCCTATCCATCGACGACAACAAGATGGACGCAGCCACCGTCGAACTCTACCAGGGAATCGACAATTTGGCCCAGAAGCACATCGACGAAGGTCTTCTTCCCGATGTGTATCGACCATTGTTTATGAATGACGCATACCACCGCCAAGATTACTGGGGCCGTATCAGCCCCGAGTCCAAGGCGCTTGCTCTCAAGACGAGGAAGGCGTATGACCCCGAAGGGTTCTTCCAGCACCGGACCAGTGGAGGCTGGAGGCTGAAGGACTAAAGAAGACGACGGTCTAGGCATTGGATATATTTAACCCGTCTATAATTGTATTTACGAAGAATTAATTGGTTTTTATTATATGACTCGAAAGAAAAGTGTTGGGAAGTGGGTGCATCAGCGATCCGCCCATGATATATTCTGTCGTAGGGCTTCCCGTTAGTAAAACCCCAAGCGACTCCGGGAAAATAAACACCCTTGCTAAATATTCTAGATGCAATGCCCTGAAACCTGATCGACTGTGCATTTCCCACCCTAGTCAATAATTAGATCAAAAGTTGGCGCCTGCTTCAGATTTGCAGACGCCCAGGGAACGAGTGGCTGAGAGCCACCCGGGGCGAGTTAGGGTTTTTTTCCAAGCGCCAGGGTGGATTGGTCAATCGGACCTACATATCGGAATATTATATTCTTGTAAGTATTCTTCCAATGATATCCTTTATACCAAAGAGCTATGAGCTCTCATACTATCTTAAGCTACCATTCATGCCGATCGCTGTACACGGCAGAGAGCTCAATGAAAACCAGTCGGGTCATCCCATTGACTACGGCGCTTCTCCAGAATCTGTAACACATAAAGCCATAGCCCGGCATGGAGACAGTCTAGAGCTGATGCTAATTTAATCTGGTCTAGACTTTGGACAATTGATGTCATTGGGAGACCTTTGTTGATGTCTATATAAAGAGCCGGACCAGTCTGGTCTTCAATCTAATAATCAGCTTCACTTTCTTTCAGAACACACTCTTTGTTCTTGGGTTCTTTTCTGCATACTTATAGTCTCTTCTTTCTAGTCCTTCAAAGCCTACCATTTCACATATATTTACCCCATCGTTGCTTAAATACTCTCCTCGACTCATCCTCAACACTTGATACATCGGCATATACACAACCAGCCCACCCTCCAACTCCATTCCTTACTCCAATCCAGCCCATTCCAACTCAATTTAATCCAAAAATGTCTCCCCGCTATGGCGCCCTCGGCGCAACCTTCCAACTATCCCGCCTCTTCGAAGCCTGCTCTCTAATCGCTATAATCGGCATGACAGCCAAATTCATCAGCGTAATAATCAACAACAACGCCACACCCCCAAACATCCTAATCTGCACAATCAGCGTGGTAAGTTCAATTTCCCTCCTTCATCCCCTCCAGAAATCTCAATTCCACTAACAATCCCAACTCTACAGACCAGCATCGCAGCCATCTACTGCATAATCACTGCAATCCTATACATGGACGACATCCTCCCATTCCTAGCCTGTGCAGTACTAGATGCCCTGATTCTAATCGCGCTGATTGTCGTCGCCGTTATCGTCGGCAAACCGCTCTCATACTTGGAGTGCACAACGCTGGCGGATCTGGGAGATAAGGACGCTACATCGTATGCGTTTGCGTCCCGAATTTCGAGTTATATTGCTAGCGTTAGTGGGAAGATGGATTACGCCTCGTGGATTGGGGCCTCGAAGGGGATTTGCATTGAGACGAAGGCTATTTGGGGGTTGAGTATTGGGCTTTGGTGGGTTCTTTTTTTTTTCTTCGGTTTGATTTGGGTTTTATTTTGATTGGGATCTTACTGACCTTCATATTGGGTTTAGTATTCTCTTTTTCTTCTCTGTTATTTGCAATATCTGTTTGTGGCTGCAGAAGAAGAAGGCCCTTGCTGTGAAGAGTTTGGAGTAATGGCTAGCTGGGATTTGGTAGAGATGGTTTATGAGAGCACGGAGTGTATGGTTAGGAAAGAAGGAAAGAATGTATCTGGGAAGGTTAGGATCAATTGCTTTTTTATGTCTTTACAATGTTTATAGCGCATGCATTAATAACCCAGGTTATATATCAATGTAGAAGGGTGTAGGAAAGAAAACCTGGTCCACTATACATCATTTCAAGTCGACTGAATCTGACTCCGGTCTTCAGATTGAATCAATCCCAGATAGACAGTGCATTGGCTAAAATCGCGAATGCAAAAGTCTATCCCGAACTCACAGGGGGAATGATAGCCACCTCACCCCCAGCCTGGATAACCACCTCCCCATCCTCCTCGATATCAACATACTCCCCATTCAGACTAACACCACAAGTAGACAGGACCTTGGGAACAATGCCAGGGTATCGCTGCTCCAGTTCGCCAAACAGAGCGGATAGTTTCAGGGGCGCAGGGAGCGATTCTGTGTTTTTGGAGGTGTATTGGGATGCAGTTGCAAAGTAGTGGATTGTGAATGTTTCCGACATGTTGAAGTGAACTGAGTTGGAGAAAAAGGTGAAAGGTGCTGAGGTGTATATAGGGGCTAAATTAGATGACTAATCCAATTGACCAATGGGAAAAGATAAGAGATATATCTATACGATCTATAAGGAATAATATGTGAATTCTACCTAGTCCAAACCTACTTCGCAAGTTCGCGGAAAGCCCTCGCCATATCGGCCTTCAAATCCTCCCAATTCTCCAATCCAATACTAATTCTCAACAACCTCCGATCCACCGTCTGATCCGTCATAGTCCGCCACTCAATAAGGGTCTCAACACCACCCAGGCTAGTAGCATGCTGGAAGAAACGCAGTTTACTCGGCAACTCACGCGCAAAGCGCATTTCCTTCATAATAATAGAGAAGACGGGCCCAAACCCATTAGGCATCTGCTTCTTTAACCAGTCGCCCTCGACCTTCTGCAAACTAGCATGAAGCACCTCACCGAGAACAGCCTGCACAGCCGCCTCGTCACTGTCAGGCGCGGGGTTAGGCGCATGTAGAGCAGTATCGAGCCAGGAAATGAGACGGGCGGCATTCTCGCTTTGGCGCTGGACGCGGATCTCTAGGGTGCGCAGACTGCGAACGCCGAGCCAACCCTCCATGCTACCCATAACGGTTCCGATAAAGAGACGGTCGGTTTTCAGCTGCGCGGCCCAGTCATCGCGGTTCGTGGCAAGGACACCACATAGCATATCGCTGTGCCCGCCAAAGTACTTGGTACCCGAGTGCATGATAATATCGGCGCCGAACTGGAATGGCTCTTGGAGGCCTGGTGGAGCGAAGGTGCTGTCGACGATGAGGTATGCGCCGCGGGCGTGGGCTTTGGCGGCGTAGGAGGCGATGTCAAAGGCGGTACCCTGGGGGTTGACGGGTGTTTCGAGGAGGATTACGTCGCCTTTTTCAAGCTGGTCGGATGAGCAGTCGAGGGGGAGCTTTTGGAGGCCTGTTAGGCGAGTGAAGAGGGCGATGACGCCATGGCAGCCGTGGTAGCCATCCCCAACGGAGATGCGGCGGGGGTTTAGGAGGGTGAGGGCACCGTGCAGGGCTGATAGGCCGGAGGAGTAGCTTATGACTTGGCCGTGTATGAGGGAGGAGAGGATTGCTTCGAAGCGAGTAGGGTTTGGTGCGGACATGCGCGAGTAGATGTGGGAGGTTGGATCATAGTCGGCCTACATTATAAGTGTTAAATGATGAGACGTTTAACGAGTCAAGTTGCATACAGGTGTGGCATCGGCAGCCGGTACTAGCTGGGTTGGATCATTGGAATAACGAAATGTGGTAGAGAGATGCATAGGAGGAGCAACATCAGTAACGAGATTCAGGGCATCATCGGCATGCAGGGAGCGCGTGGAGGCGCCAATAGCGTTAGAATGCGACATGATAAAAAATGCTATGTTTCTTGAATTGTATGCACAGAAAGGGTCCAGCAAGTTATAATACACCAGAAATGCGGCATCCGATCTCGGGGAGGGGACCTCGGGAAGAGGGGGGAGATCACGTAATGGGTCACGTGGGGGAAAGAGAAAGATAGAAATGGATTATCGACGAATAGACCCCATGCGAGATGGTTCTCGTACTAATCCAGGTAGAACTGCCTTGAAGCTTGCGCGTGCTATCAAACAAAATTAGCGAAAGAACAGTAAAAGGTAGAGATATAACTCACAAGCTTCTGTATCGAACGTAATAGTAAGATCGTCGTGTTCGATGGGATACTCGGGCATGTCGAGGCACACAAAGTTGGAAGCTGGATTATCGTCCTTCTTAGGCAGGGCAAACTTGGCATCTACCATGCGAATACCGAACTTTCCGGACCGGCCAAAGGATTCCATGATATCAGTACCCTTAAGAACAAAGTTCATACATGTGCCATGCTGGAAGTCCCCGAAGAAAGCAAGCATTTGAACGACTTTCTCTTGTCGAACGACCTGAACTCGTGCCAAGGAAGCTTCCCATTTCTTGTAAATGGGAACCATACTCCGTCGGCGGGAGATAGTGAACGATGTAGCCATACTAGTTTGGTCAGCAAGATCTTGACCCGAAGGCTAGCTATGATAAAACTCACCCGTCGTAAAGCACCTGGAAACCAGTCACAGCTGCCTCGAAGGCATGAAGATCTAGATGGAATTAGCAAAGTAAACCAAATGTCAGAAGTAGACATACCCTGCATGGTTGGGAAGTCCAGCCGGCGGATCATAGGCTTGGCCGTAAGCTTCTCAAGGAAGCCAGTTAATTGCCCTGCCAGTTCAGGGCGAATGAGGTTATCCGCAAGCGAAAGGGTCAGATCCTGCTGCGCGGAGCGGAACAAGCTCATGCTCGTCTTGCTCTTGACATCCAAGCCAATTTTCAATTCACCGGGTCCTGGATAAAATTAGCAACCGTTTAGAGAGAAAGAGATAGAGAAATCCCACCTAAGTTGATGCGATCTGTAACAGACCCCCATTCGGTGGCGATAAAGGCCCTTAGATGTTCCGATAGAATTGTCGGTCCATAACCATGCTCGACGTAAGCATGCTCCTGATCAATAACGGACACGCTTCCCGCGGGGAACTGGAGGTATTTGACTGCGGGCTGGCCGGTGAAGGTATCTTCGGGCTGCTCAATGGAATATGACTGGATGGCGAACTCGGGCGACTTGATCTCTCCCTCCCGTGGAATCATGCCGAGCAGCACGGAGTGGATTTTCGTACGCTCAGCCACCTCGTGGAAAGTCATCAACATGGATCTCGTACGGCCATCCTCGGTCACCTTGAGGAGAAGAGCGGGAGCACCATCCTCTCCTCGCAAGAGACCGAACAATATCGGTGAGCCGTTGCCCAAAGTATGGCGAATGCTGCTCAAAGTCTTGACCTTGGGGCTGGTTAGGACAGCTAGTCGGAATCCCCGATGCGCGTTGCGAGTACCAGTGCCTTCTGTCACGGTGACAGATCGCTCGAACAAACGGATTCGACATCTTTCTGTAGGGTCTGGAGGGAACGCCTTTGGTGTGCCCGGATCCATATATTGGAAAACCTTGAGGGTATTCTCAAATACCACAGTCTCGCCTGCCTCTGGATGGAGACTGTTCTCCGACTTTTGAGTGTATTTGACGATATTCCAGAGGGTCTTGAAATCATCTTCCTTGAACATAACGTCCAACTCGAATCCTCGGGGAAGCTTGACTCGCATAGAATGGGACCGAACTTGCCAATCCACATCTTCCCAAGTCGGTCCCACCTTGCGATCGGACTGAATCAAAATGTTGACAAGATTACTTTGACTAGTGATTGCCGCAAATACATACCAATCCGCTCGTTCGCGGACGATGGTCAATGCGCAGGGCATAGCATACTGCTGTTGCCCATCATCATCGCTGGAGCTGACGCAGACCTGCACGAACATGCTACCATAGCTGAAGTATCGACTTGTGTCACCCAAAGGCATCATGTGTACCAAACTTGGGGTCTTTCCCGCATTATCTACCAGCATTGATCTCGTTGCTGCACCAGATAAGACTGCGGAGACGTCGGGCGCATAGAAAGGGTAACGCAGCCAGATACTCGTATCCAGCTGGCTCGGAGAGCCTTCATCGGCGACAACCAATGTGAGAATGTTGTTTCGTTTGATGGACATGGACAGCGACCGGAGGTGATTGACGAGAGTGTGATGTATACTCAGAAGATCCGCCAACTCCTTGTCGCCGGTGGTACTCGTAACGGCTAGTAGGGCGTCAACGCTCATGGCGCCGTATCGAGAGAGTTCATGGTGGCTGGGCACAATATTTTCATTTATCCATAATGCCTTTCCAAGATCGACCACAGCTTGCTTGGCGTAGGTAGGTGGTAGTGTAGAACGGGAACGGGCGTATGTTTCCAATCGTGTCTTTCCTCGCAAGAACCACCAAACCGCAGCCCGAATCCATTCTGCTAGCGATGTTTCTACCAATGGCTTAACTTCCTGTGCTGCGAGTTTACTAGAACTCTCATATTGTGCATTGTATTCTTTGAATTCAGCGAATGCCGTATCGCCAACTTGGTTGGCAACATTTCGAAGAGAGAACTTGGGGGGTTGAACGCTCTGTGGCGGCTCTTGACCTTCGCGACTGGGAGGGGACGTCCGGCTTGATGCAGGCAGGTCCTGGGATGGCGGTTTGGCAGACGTTGGTGAAGCCTTGCCGGGGCTACCTGGCATGAGATTCGTGGGCATTCGTGGGTCAATGGGACTGAGATTCGCTGGTGCGTGTTGTGTGGAGGGGCTTGGGGGGTTCCGAATCGAATCGACAATAGACCTCATAGACAGAGAGATTGACGGCGATTGCGGAAGCCCCGAGGCTGAGGCAGTTTCGTAGGCCGATTTGGGATTGTAAGCTTTTATGGGCGGTTCCGGGCTCTGAGGGCTGGGAGGAGTTGAAATATCATCGTCTTCAGCTCCAGGAGATGATGTATCTTCATCATAGCGGTGATGCAATGCCCGACCTTCCTCCGCTTGCATCTTGTCACGGACGCGTTGTGCGAACGAACTTGCCTCGGTATCGCCGCGGAATGACAATCGAGAGCCGCTGTCGCTCAAAGGCAACGACATCAGGAAGTCTGCATCCTGAGAATTTTGCATCAGTGGGGGTTTCCAGTCCGACCCATCACGCCGAGGCGAACAAGCCTGTCTAGATCGCGCATCGTCCAGCGATGTGTCCAGTCGGAGATTTGGCAGATGCGATCGCGAAGGGTCCAGGGGGGACGTAGGGATATTGCCAGACTGGGTTCCCTTGCTGTCCGACCTTTCACGAGCCCGCGAAATCTCAATTGTTGGCGACTCCGTCTCATCGCCTCCTTCACCAATCACTTCTGGGGTTTGAGGGCTGAAACCCACCCGCAGCCCTTTGCCCTTTCTACCGGGCTTGGCAGAGGCGGGGGCGGGCACAGCAGGTTCTGTGAAATTGAAAGGGGCATAGTTTTCACGAGGCACTGGCGCTGGCGCTAGCGCCGGGGGTGCTGGCTTGGGGTATCCGG